TTAGTTATCTTGATGGGACCATAACACCTGTCCCGGCCCTATTCCATTCCAACCTCGCCGTTACCATTTTCAAATTTTCCCTCATAAGGGTCTGTTTGGTTCAAACGAAAGGAGATGAGGAATTTTAATAGTAGGGAAACGAAGCCAAGGGAGAGAAAAAAATATTAAAATTATAATAATATGTTTGGTTCATATGGAAGGGAAATGATGAGAAGGAAGAGAAAATAGTATTTTTGTGTTTGGTTAAACATCAATGGAAAATATAATAATTTTACTGTTTTACCTCTATGTTATATAAATAAAAAAAAAATTAAAGTATTTAATAAAATTTGATTAATTTATTTATAAAATATGATACAAACTTTATTTGTCTAATATAATAAAAAAAATAATTACATTATTACGTATTGAAAGAATCAAATATTTCATACATTAGTTATTTATTAAATTTACCAATAAAGATAAATAATAGTTTTACGTATAAATAATAATACTATAACAAAAATTATTTAAACTAAATATATTATAAAAATATTTTATATTTTATAATTTGTAATTTTTTAATATTAATTAAATTTTTTAGATATTTTAATTTTAATTTATAATTATTTTTTCTATATAATAATAATTTTTACTAGTACATTTCTTAATTACTTACTAATTATATTTTATCTAAATTTTTGTATCTACAATATGCTCATATTACATGGGACAAAAATAAGTAAAATATTAGTACTATAGGTATAATTATAAGCTAATTTATAATTTATTAAAAAAATATTATAATTAAACTTGATTAAAAAAATTAATTAAAACTATTTCAAAATATATAATATAATTTTAATACCCATTACGTCCCAAAACTATAGTATGTGTTGTGGTGGCACGAAATTTAAGGAATATTGATATTATATTGGCGGTGGGTAAAAAGTACGGGTAAAATTTTTTTTTGTCCTTGTGAGTGTATTGGTGTAAAAAGTAAAAGTAAAGGTAGTTTTTTTTTATAGTAATATGATTATTTATGGTAATATTGTTTTAAGACGGACAAAAATGGTAAACAGAACTATTATATTGAGACAGAAGGAAGAAGTACTATATATTAATATTTATTTGATATAATTAAAAATAAAATAAATAAATATTAAAATTTTAAAAGATGTTATAAAATTTCTAATAAAATATGTAAATGGTATAATAAGTAATTAGATAAAAGAAAATTTTGATAAAATTCCTCCCCTTCAAATTCTCCCAAATTGAAGGAGAAAAAAAATTAAAAATAATTGACTCCCTTCTAAAAAAAATTTGAACCAAACACAAAAAATATTATAATTCCCTCCCCTCCCCTCTTGAACCATCAAACCAAACAAACCCTACGAAAAACACATACATCCATTCCCAGAGAACAAAAATTGCACAGCGCGGGGACAATCTGAATTTCAATGGTTCGATAAAATCAATCACCCAAAATTGAAATCGACCGCGGCCGTCAAGAATCGAACACTACAAGAAATAAGAAATGATATAACATAAATATACGACCATCAGTTCATACTAAAGGTGGGGTTGGGATAGGATGGGTAGGATAGGGTGGGGGTGGTTCAAGAGCTGTGCCGCCTCCACGACGGCACGTCGCTACGGCCGTCGGTGGATTCGGACTATTCGATTGTCCCGACCCGGCGAGCCACGGCATCGATCCACCGGCAGGATATCGCCCGCCCCTTTGCCCCATGTTATTGTAGCGCGTCGGGGACGGCAGTGTCGGATACCCCCACGCCGGAGGGTAGGTTGTAGGGACTCGACCATCCGGCACAAGGGACAAAATTCTCGGTGGGCTCCTCCTCTTCGGCCTAGCCCGTTGGGACCGTCGGGTTTCCGACGCTGACCCTGCCATGGACGGACGTCGACATTCTATCGATGTCCGGCTCGGCGTCACCTTCAGCCTCCCAATCGATGAAGTCGATGTAGAGGTTGGGATGGGGCGACGGGCCGGAGGGGAGGCCGTTGATTTTGGCCCAATAGCGTCGTTTAGCGTTGTGGAACGCCTCCTCGGCTCCGGAGTCGTCCCAGTTCATCACGTTGGGGTACTAGTGCATGTGCCGCTGCGTCTCGACCAACATTCCCCAGTCGAGTCCCCTGTCGTCTCGGCAGAAGTCCCATGCCGGACTTCTGTCGACTGCCGACTACCACCTGCGACCGCGACCAGCTTTCGGACTCCGGGGAGGCCGAGTCGTCAAGTTGGTTTTTTTTTTTTTTTTTTATCTCTTATATATTTTAAATTTTAACTTGTTCGAACTACAGTTTTATAGTTATAAATAAAAATAATAAATTAATGTACAAAATTGACAATGAATAGGTGGGGCAAACCAATCTCTTAATCATATACTTCGTCCGTCTATTTTCTATTGTCCTAAAATATATTTGTACTGTTTTTTTAGGTAATTGTTCTTTTGGTATGAATTGACAAATTTGTCATTTATTATAAGGTAGAGATTAAAAGTAATAAATAAATAAAAATGGTAAAAAAAGTAAAATTTGTCTTTAAAAAAAAAATAGGCCAATAGTTATTCAACATCCCAAATAAAAAAATAAGACATTAGTTTGTGGACCGAGAGAATATAATATAAAAATTACATTAAAAAAATTGATTTTTTTAAATTTGAGGGGTCAGTTGCCCCCGGGTCCCTACATGGTCCATCCATGCATGCGACGAAAAATGTAAGAACAACCAACAACTTGTCCGAAAATTGCAGCGACGAGAAATGATCCTCGTATTACTGAGATGAAACGAAACACGATAGATTAGACGACAATATAAATGTATTTTTCAAAGATACTTTCTTTTTTCAAAACATTCATCGTTTTACGCTCCTATCCCTACTTTATCTCATTTACATTTGGTCGAAAAAGGATGTTTTAGTCTTTTCATATCTTTTACTTCGAATTTTGAAAAATATCTAATTCTTGTTCTAAAGGATAAATTGACACTTTTTTGGAATGTAAGCATTAGACTCATGATAATACTACTAAAGTTATCACGCATGTGTACAAAATCAAATGAACATGTCTAAGAATCCGTGCATTCATTGTCTGCACGTAAAAAAATAAAGAAAATAGTAGAAAAGATATCTAAACTAAAGCGCAAAAAACAACATGATGTTTTTCTTATTGATCCGAGGAATGAAGAATTTTAATTTGTCGTTTCGTTCTTTATTCCTCGATTTCGACTTGTCAACTATAATTCAATTTGTCATTTTGTTCTTTTATAATTCAATTGTCACTTTGTTTATCATTCCTCAATTTTGATTTGTCGCCTATAATTCAAGTTGTCGCTTTCTTCTTTATTTCTCGATTTCGACTTGTCACCTGTAATTCAATTTGTCGTTTTGTTCTTCTATAATTCAATTTGTCATTTTGTTCTTCATATATCGATTTTGATTTTTTGCCTATAATTAATTTATCGTTTTGTTCTTCATTTCTCGATTTCGACTTGTTGCTTATAATTCAATTTGTCGTTTTATTCTTTATTCCTCGATTTCGATTTGTCGCCTATAATTCAATTTGTCACTTTGTTCGCCATTCTTTCGGGATTAGAGATCCAAGGAATGATGAACAAAGCATATAGGCGACAAATCGAAATTCGAGGAACGAGAGAACAAAGCATATAGACGACAAATCGAAATTCGCAACAAATCAAAATCAACATCTATATATACTTAATTTTAATTCTATATATTGTTCCGATTTTAAAATTTTTGATTTTGTTTATAAAATTCTTGTTCTTTATATTTATATTGATATATTTTCTTTGATTCTTTGATACATAACAACATCGAATGTTTGTTAACAGTTAGATCAAACTGAAATTTTCAGGGTTTATTCGTGATTCGTTAATATTTCAATCCAATAGTAAGATTTGCGATCGGATATTTGTAATTCGAACAAAATTTTACATAATGTGACTGATTTTTTTGTTAGTAATCTTTATTTTAATTTTTCTTAAGTTTATAATTTTCGTCGATAGATACAGTGGTAATTAGAAAGTGTATCCAGTGGTAATTAGAAAGTGTTTACACATTATTTAAAGGACTCATAATATATTTTCTTCTTTAATTTGGTTGATCATTCATTTCTATTTTATCTTAAAAGTTTTTCATGTTATAATTTTTCATACTTTTTATATTTTATTTGCAATATAATTCATATTGTTTTTGCAAGAGAATTGCATTTTCTATTAATATACCTTTACTAGTGAACTTCTTACAATAAATCTTTTTGTTTAATTTTAAAAATTTTAAATGATTATACATAAATTAACTATAGTATTATATTATTTTTATTATTATATATTCTTTTAATTTCTACTAATCTATTATAATATTCATATGGTGGTGCAGGAAAAAATAAGAAATTAAAGATCCTACAAAAGAAGAACCAAAGAAACAATATATGTATTATTTTAAATTATTATTGTATTTTTGTTACTAATAAATTTTGTCATTTTGTAGTATATATTTTTTCAAGTTAATTTGGTTAGAATTTTTAATTTTGTAAACATGTTCAAATTTTTTAGTTTTTTTGTTTAAAAGAATATCTAAAAAAGTTATACATAAATTACGATAAGTTTTCACATATAAAATTTTTATTTTTATTGTATTCTATATTTTTTAATTATTTATTTTACTATTTTTATTTTCCATAAATTATGTATTTTTTTAATTTTTATTGTGTATATTATTTTTAAAATTGATTTAATTTGAACAATATATACTATTATCTAACAAATCGTTATTAGTTAGTTATCCTTATGGGACCATTACACCCATCCCCGCCCCTATTCCATTCCGACCTCACAAACATAGCCGTTACCATTTTCAAATTTTTACACCCTAAGAAAATAACATACATCCATCCCTAGAGAACAAAAATTGCACAGCGCGGTGACGATCGAATTTCAATCGTTCAATAAAATCAGTCACCCGAATTTGAAGTCGAACGCCGCCGCAAGAATCGAACTCTACAAGAAATGATAATGACATAAATATTCGACCATCAGTTCATACTAAAGATGGGGTTGGGATAGGTAGGATAGGATAGGGTTGGGTGGTTCAAGAGCTGTGCCGCCTCCACGACGGCACGTCGCTGCGGCCGATGCAGCCGAAATTCCACCGTCCCGACGAGCCTCTCCCACTGGCTTGCTCGCGGGAGTCCCGGTTGCTCCTCTGATTCCAAAACCGGGCCCTCGGAGGTCGGTAAATACCCGTCGCCGCCGCTTCTCCACCGGCATTCGGACTATTCGACTGTCCCGACCCGGCGCGCCACGGCATCGATCCCCCGGCAGGATATCGCCCGCCCCTTTGCCCCATGTTATTGTAGCGCGTCGGGAACGGCGGTGTCGGATACCCCCACGCCGGAGGGTAGGGGTTGTAAGGATTCGACCATCCGGCACGAGGGACAAAATTCGCCGGAGCATCGTCTCCCGGGCCATCGGTGGGCTCCTCCTCTTTGGCCCGGCCCGTCGGGTTTCCGACGCTGACCCTGCCATGGACGGACGTCGACATTCTATCGATATCCGGCTCGGCGTCACCTTCGGCCTCCCAATCGATGAAGTCGATGTAGAGGTTGGGATCGGGCGACGGGCCGGACGGGAGGCCGTTGATTTTGGCCCAATAGCGTCGTTTAGCGTTGTGGAACGCCTCCTCGGCTCCGGAGTCGTCCCAGTTCATTATGTTGGGGTACAGGTGCATGTACCGCTGCGTCTCGACCAACGTTCCCCAGTCGAGTCCCCCGACCTCTCGGCAGAAGTCCTTCTCCCATGTCGGGACTTCTGTCGACTGCCGACTACCACCTGTAAGAACAGCCAACAACTTGTCAGAGAATTGCAGCGACGAGAAATGATCGTCGTATTAGTGAGATGCAACGAAACACTTTGCTTTGAATTTTGAAAAATATCTGAATCTTGTCTTACGCATTTGACACTCTTTTGGAATGTAACCATTAAACTCACGATAATACTACTAAAGTTATTACGCACGTATACAAAATCAAATAAACATGTCTAGAATCCGAACATTAACTGACTACACGTGAAAAAATAAAGAAAACTGCATAAAAGACATTCAAACTAAAGCACAAAAACCACATGATGTTGTTCTTGTTGTTGTTCCGAGGAATGAAGGATTTCAATTTGTCGCTTGTTCTTCATTCCTCGATTTCGACTTGTCGCCTATAGTTCAATTTGTCGTTTTCTTCTTATATAATTCAATTTGTCGTTGTGTTCTTCATTTCTCGATTTTAATGTCGCCTATGATACATACAATTTGTCGTTTTGTTCTTCATTTTTCGATTTCTGACTTGTTGCTTATAATTCAATTTGTCGCTATGTTCTTTAGTTCTCGATTTCAATTTGTCGTCTATAATTCAATTCGTCGCTTTATTCGTCATTCCTCGGCATTCGAAATCCAAGGAATGATGAACAAAGCAAATAGACGACAGATCGAAATCCGAAGAATAAAGAACAAATCGACAAATCAAAATCCTTTCGTTCCTCGGATCAACAAAAACACCATAACCATCATAAGCCTAAAGAATTCGACAAATTCGACTCTGACATTTCGACAACCACAAAATCCAAATGCTCCTAACAATCACTAGAACCAAATTACAACTTACAAACATCAAAATCAAATCAAATCAGTAGGTACAAAACAAACATGATTCAATTTCAGGTTTCTTCATTTCCAGGAACAAAAACAGCGACAGATTCGACAATGGTGGACCCTCCCAACCTCAAAATGGCAAAATCAGCTAAACCATAAATTAACAACCAAACCAAACCAACACAACACACCAAGCATTCACAGATTTTGCGCAACACAATCAAAATCCAAATTAAAATCAATGAAAATATTGAAAATGCATTACCAGTTGTTGTCCTCCTCTGCCGCTGTGATCCTCCAAGATAGTAATCCCTCCGTCGCCCCCAATTCTCCATCGATCAAAATATATCTGCAAAAAATATGGCGGCAACTGTAAGAAACAGCACGGAAACTCAAATTCAACTCAAATTCACTGAAACTAAAACCGAAATTCATTACCGATTCACAACTGGAACTACTGGAACTTCTGTAATGGCGAATTTGGCAAAAAAATTGGCAAAGGAGTGATGATCGAGGGGGGGATTGCAGAATGGAATTTATAGCGATTGGAATCCAAAAATTTTGGGAGCGGAGCGTTGGACAGTGATGATCATTAAATGGAATTCGGTTCTTCTGAGCGACTGAGGGAAATAATAATAAAAAAAAAATATTTGAAATTAAAATTAAAAAATAAAAAAAAATAAAAACTAGAAAAAAGAAAAAAGGGGTGGAAATGTCAGTAACAAAATTGTGAAAGAAGATACAAAATAAGCAGAATTTAAGGTTGTGTGTTTTCATTTTAGTTTTAAAAATTTATTTGGAGCTAAAAAATAAAAAAGAGTTGCAGAGTAGAATAGGATTTGTTTGTTTGAGTCATTGGAAAAGGACTGAAGTGGGCGGCGCGTGAAGTCTACGCGCCTCTTCTGGCCGTGGTGGATTTTTTTGGCGATCGTCTTCTATGCTGCAGGAAAATATTCCTATAAGGAGTAGTTTTCTTTGAAAAAAAAAAAATTAATTTATCTGTCAACTTCATAGTAGTCATTCTAAATTTTATAATAAATTAAAAAATAATATTTACATTCATCTTACTTTAAAAATTTTATTTTTTTTAATTAATATTAAATATTAATTATTATATTAATATGGAGTAAAAAAAATGATAAAAATATTTTTATTAGTATCTTATATTACTATTATAATAATATTTCTACGAAAAAATATTAAAGTTTAAGGATATTTTTAATTTTAAGTATAATAATGCAAAAGATAAATGAAACCCTTAGAACGGGACGGAGGAAGTAGTATTTTATTGATCCGTAAAAATGTGTAAAAAATTTTAATATCTTTAGCCGTGGTTGTAGTTTTTGATAGTTTGTTTGTCTAATTGTTTTTTTAATATAAAATTTAATATATAATATATTTTTATTCTCTTTGAATGTATTTTTCTAGTTTTGTAATAAATTAAAAATAATAATATATTATAAATTAATAAAAGTATATAAGAAATTTTGATATTTATGTTTCTAAGTTTGTATATAAAGTAATTGTATTTGAACTTATATATTTTTAACTTAAATAAAAATTAAAGATATTTTAGCATCGAAAAAATTTGAACCTATAACATCACTGTCACAAGTCATTAATTAATTATAAATTTGCCTTCATTTTTATTTATATTTACAAAACTACTATCACACATTTTATTTTATTTTTATCTCAATAAAACAAATAATATTTTAGACTTTTTATCCAATACAAATTCACTCATCAATATATACATTTTTTTTTAACATATTACAAAAATTATACTCCCTCCGTTTGAAAGTGTTTTTTTTTTACTGCTTTTATTTGTCTCACTTAAAAGTGTATATTTCTCATTATAAAAAAAATAATTATATACTAATATAAAAAAATTCTTTTAATTTTTATATAAATTACAAACATACTAACATATGTAATTAATTAATTTATAAATAAATTACAAATAAAAAAATATTAAATTTATTATATATATTTCGACTAATTAATAAAATATTATTATTTTTTAAACAACTTGTCAAATAATTCATTTAAATTGAAAGAAAAAGAGTAAGACAATGCAATAGAATTTTTTCACTTAATCAAAATTTTATGACACATTTCTCATTTAGTATTATAGAAAATTATCATATATATTTACATAAAATATAATATATATTACTCCATTCATCCCAATATAACAGTCTTATTTACCATTTTTGTTTGTCCCAAAATAATAATTTCATTTCCATAAATAACCATATCACCATAAAACTAGCCCTATTTTTTCATTATTATTACACAATTGTCACTACTTTTTACGCTAATATGCTCACAATGGCAAAAAAATCATTTATCCTTACTTTTTACTAATTATCAATATAATATCAAAATTTTCTAAATATCGTGCCCAAAACAATAAGACTAGAGCCGTCAAAATGAATTGAGCTCGTCGGGTTGGCCCGCTCCGCCTTACTTTTAAGGAGGGTTGGGTTGTGATTTTTTAAGCCTGTTAAAATGCGGGCCTAAATGGACCAACCCGCATAGGCCGCAGGTTGGGGGTGGATTTGTCCGCAGTGGAGCGAGTTAGTCCGCGGGTAAAGTAAATATAATAATTAGTACTCACTCGTCTAACTAAATATATTTTTTTACCATTTTTTTATTGTCATATTAAAAAATTATAATAAAAATAATCAAATATTAATATAAAAATATATTTTAATTTTTTATAAATTACAAACATACGAGTATAAATAAGTTAAGACGAATAAAATAAAATTTATATTATCATTAGTTTAAATAAATTATCAATATTGTCTACACGTTGTTTTTCTTCTCTAACTATGTTATTCATGACATTGTTATTTGTTTCGATTTTTCATCATTTGTTTTGTTCGTTTTCCATTTTATTATTTTATAATTTTACAAATTTATAAAATTAATTATGATTTATTTTTAAAATGAGGTATTTCTTATTATTAATTTTTTTAAATACACCAATTAATAATATTTAGAATTGTGAATTTTTATATTTGTAATTTATTTTAAAATATTTATTATTTAAATTCTACAATAAAACTATTTTTAGCTATTTTTAAATATTAACTACAAAAGTATTTATAATATTAATATTCTTTTAATATTTTTAGAAAATCCGTGGGCTAACCCGCTTAGCTCGCCACCCGCCGGTGGGTTGGGTTGATGAAATTTTGATTCGCCCCGCCGTGGATTGGCCCGCAAACAACCCGCTTATTTGCGGATTAAGGTGGGTTGTGGCCAATCCGCCCCATTAACCCGTTTTGATAGATCTAAATAAGACTATACTTTTGGGGCGGAGTGAGTATATCTTTAAAAACTATAATAATTTAATTTATTTTTTTTTATTATTATTCATATATGTTTCATACATAATATCCAAACATCTAAATTTGAAAAGAAAAATTGTTCATAATTCTTTTATAGTAATAAAAATTAATGTAAATTTTTTTTATACTTTAAAAATTACATAGTAATTTTTTATAATTTAAAGAATATTGTATAAAATCTCCTTTTATATTTCTTGTATAATAAAAATAATTTTTCATTAAAATTTTTTTGCATGATATGAAATTTCATGCAATATTTTTAATAATACAAAGCGGTGCCATAAAATTTATAAAATACAAAAGAAAATTATGATAATTTCCGAAATTATAAAGAAATTATGGATAATTTGACAATTTAAAATACAAACTAAAGGCCATTGGAAAATAGAATTTGAAAATTTTGCTATTGATGTTCCACGCGCTCTCCGGAGAGCGCGTGGAGAATCCTTTCACCAACTGCGGTGATGACGTCAGATGTGATTAGCCCCCCATACAAAAGGACAAAAAGGCCCTCGTCAGATATTGTTATGCATGGGAATCCCAAGAGCCTAAGACGGCCACTTGTAAATTTTCGGTTGAGAGATTTGGTCCAAATGTTCATCCAAAAATTTTTCTCCAAAAACATCAAATCAAATACCTATTTTTTATTTTTTATATTATACTAAAAATTAATTTTACATTCAAAACATCACATCATCACTTATTTATATCACATTATACAACTATTCAAATTCAAAATTTTTACTATTCAAATCCCAACTCAAAATCAAAATCCGCAAACAAACACACCCTAAATTATTTTTGCACCCAAAACGTGTGTTATCTGAATTGACTAAATTGCCCTCCGAGGGCATGGGTAGTTCTGACATTTCGGGTATTTCGTCACATTTTGTAACTGATAGGACACGTGGCGCGCTCAGCTTTCGCCATTTATAAATGATTTGGTTTGGGCTTTAGGTTAATAAAGCCATTTTTGAGTTTATTTTCTGCCCCCTTCAAATGACGACTGCTTTTCAATATTCTCGAATCTCGAGGCTCAATATTTATTTATTTAAATTGATTGAGAGAAATATTTCGTTCGTTACAATTTAGGGAGGTCTTTGAAATCGGTAATAAATTAAAAAATAATATTCCCTTCTCTTCGTTCAATTCAAAATATATTTTTTTATTATTTTAGGGTGTGTTCGTTTGATGGATTTGGATAAAATTTTACTATTCATCCAAAATTTTTCCTCCAAAAACATCAAATCAAACACCTATTTTTTATTTTTTATATTATACTAAAAATCAATTTTACATTCAAAACATCATATCATCACCTATTTATATCACATCATACAACTATTCAAATTCAAAATTTTTACTATTCAAATCCCAACTCAAAATCCAAACCCCCAAACAAACACACCCTTAGTATATTTCACTTTAGAATATTAATTTTTTATTTTAGTAAAATAATTATACACCAATACCAAAATACTTTAACATTTTATTTAAATAACAAATATATTATATATACAATTATTTTTTACATAAAATTAAAGAGCAAAAATATCAAAACTTTTTACACATTTTAACTACCTAATAAAATACTCCCTCCGTCCCAGAAATAAGTATCCATTTGCTTTTTGCACGTAGTTTTAGAAATATTAGTATTATATTAAGATAAGTATGAATAAAGTATAAATGAACAAAATAACCTTATTAGTACGTGTGATATAAAGGTAGAGTATTTGTAATGTTAGGTAGATAGTACAGTTATTAAAAGAGAAAATGAATACTTTGTTATGAACAGACTAAAATGAAAAAATGAATACTTTATTATGGGACGGAGGGAGTACTACAAAACCCCGAAGAGCCCATTTGGACTGGGACAGAGGGAATACTTTCTCTGTCCGATTCTAAGGATCTCATTTATTTTTTACGTATTAATTTTTTAATATTAATTATTAATGTTAAATATAATGACGTAAAATATAAAAAGAGACTCTTAGAGTCAGACGGAAAAAATAATATTTTATTGATTAATAAAAATATGTAAAAGTTTTTTATATTTTTTCCCTTTGATTTTATATATAAAATAATTGTCAGTGTAATGATATATTTGTAATTCAAATAAAAGTTAAGAGTATTTAAGTATTATTGTGTTATTGCTTATTTTAAAAAATCGAAAATGAATATTTTGAAGTAAGACATACAAAAATTCTTTAAAAAAAATACTTTGAATTGAAAATGAGAGAATAATTTTTTTCATTCCAGACAACATTATGAGTTTGTTTGTTTAGTGAAATGGTTTCAAAGAATATTGTTTCTATTTGAAGTACAGATTATTGTGTATGTTGAGAATTTTGGCCGTTCGAGGCTAACTCGACAAGTCCTTCGATAAATAAATAAGATGGCCTACTCCGTAGCTCGATCCACCGAATTCGACCCAAACCCTTTAATCCAAATTCATATATCAAACCATAAGTCAATTTGTTACGTTGTTACGTTGGTTATAACCGTGGTTTTTTTAATTTAGGAAAATTATTAAATGTTGGTTTAAAAAGAATTTTTGGGTGAGTTGGTTTTTTATAAGTAAGATATACCGTAACGGAGTTAGAGAAATTGAAAGTTAGGGAGTGAACCGAAATGGAGAGGGAGAGAAACCGCGAGAGGATTCCGGTGAGTTTCGAGGGGTTTTCCGGCGAGTGAAGAATCCTTTCTTATGCCGATTCCGGTGGGTGTAGTGGTTTAGAGTGACAAACTGACCTCCACTTTGAGGCGTGATTACCTAGGGCCACTTCGCAACATGGACTGAGCCGATATTTGCCGTCTTTTCGCAACCAGTGAAAGATCAGAGTAAGTCGGTGGAATTTCAGAAGTCACTGGAGCTGTTTCTGTTCGTCGCCGTTCGCTGGGGAAGACTGAAGGAGCAGTCGCTGGTCGGAGTCGCCGGAGCGCCGCCAGTCAGATCGACCTGGTGCCGCCATCCGCTGCCGGTTCCCGCCGTCGTCATCTGCTACGGAAAGAAGTGTCGTCGTCGTTGATTTTGGTTTTGATTTTCGTGGTTGGAAGTTAGATATGATTCTCCCAATTTCAGTGAAGACAACGAACATGGAGCATTACAATTGCATTCTTTAATTCATTAAGGTTGTTTGGTTGTTTGTGTTTCAAAATCGATTCTCCTATTTGTGTTTTGCTTTTGCTTTAATTGTGTTTAATTTTATTTGGATTCGATATTAGTTTTATTCGAATTTGCTTCCGGTAATTCATTCATTCGTATTTTTGTATTTTTGTATACTAAGTTTTGTTCTTTAAATTCAAAGACAGCAATAAATTCACAACAGTGTAAATAATATAAAAATAATTAGTGTGTATAATAAATTAATTTTTTGAAAAAATATATTGGTTTATTTTCACAAAACAAACCATGTATATTTGAATTTTGTAGTAAATTAAAAGTATATATATTCTTTATTAATTCATGGAAATGTTTAAGATGATGTTGATATATATTTTTATTTTTTTATTTTATGTATATATATAATAATATATTTGCAAGTTAGATAAAATAAAATAAAAAAAAAAAAAATTATTTTGATAGACAAAAATAAGGGTATGTTTCTTTAGGGGGTTTGGGGAAATTTGAGTTTGGGTTTAGTTTTTATTTGAATTTTGTGATGAGTTTGAATTTTATTGTTTGGTTTGTGTTTGGATTTGGTTGGAGTTTTGAGAGTTTTAATGTGTATTGATTTGATGGATAATGAATAAAATAATAAAAATAATATATATTAAATTTAATTGATAAAATTTATATTATATGATTTGATTATAAATTTATATTATACCCAACATATATATCTTTAAATTTTAATTTATTTGTATTATAAAAAGTTTTATTCTCTTGTATATATTTTTTTATCATATAATTATTATAAATATTAAATAAATATAATATTTAAAAAAATATTTAAATAAATAAATAAATATAATGTTTCTTCTGGCTGGCTCAGTGTTTGCACAATTTTTTTCCCAAACTGAGCCAGAAGAAACATACCCAAAATACAAACCCTAAATAAATATATATATACTCTCTTTGTTTTATATTTACGTATCTGTTTGTTTTTTTACATAAAATTTTAAAAATATAATATTATATTAGGAATAAAATAAATGATAATATTTGTATTGTTAGATATATAATATAGTTACTAAAAAAATAAATATTTTATTATAAGACGAAAAAAAAAAAAAAAAATAGATAGATGATTAAGGGATGGATAAAGTACTATATATTAAGTATCACTTTAGTTTGAAGGGAGTGAGTAATTATGTAATTCAACAATGTGTTGACACATCACACTATAATAGGTAACAATGTGCATCTACGCTGATATCTTTTAAATTATTTTTTGATTATAAAACTAAATTTATATCTTTTATCTTTTTTAATAATAATCATTAAATCACATTATAAAAAATAATTCTATCATTAAAAATCAATGGGTAGAATGCTAATGTATTTTCAACATCACCACCCCATCGAAAATGTTAATAGTTTTATACCGGTGTATTTGTTCGGATGTTTGGATTTTGAGGTCGAGATTTAAATAATAAAATTTTCGAATTTGAATAGTTGAATGATGTGATATAAATAGGTGTTAGATACGATATTTTGAATGTAAAATTAATTTATAAAAAAATATAAAAAGTGAAAAATAAAAATTTGATATGATAGTTTTTAAAAAAAATTTGAATGAATAGTGAATTTTTTGCATAATCCTTCATATACAACCGTACCATTTTTTGCTTTAACTTGTTTGCTATGATGTTTATTGATTTATATTATTACATTTATATATTATATTATTTCATATTTTTAGTTGTGCTAAAAAGTTGTGCTAAAAATATGGGTGGTTTTTTGTATCATTACACTATTTTGATCACAAATATTCGATATTCAAACTTTCATACCAACATATATTGCTAGTTTCTCGCAATTTCTAGAGAACAATATATATACTCATTAGTACCCAAACTTTTCCAAACAACATAGCCAAAAAGCATCGAGACAATGCTAGAGGATCGATCACATAAGTAGATGTAATACAATTTCTACACAAACATTTTCATAGCCGGGACGAAAGGTAAATAAAAAAGAAAATTACTCACAAGTAAATGAAGCAGCATACGCTAGATGGATATTAATTACTCGGAAGAAGCAAGGGCCGACTGCAAGACATCTTCAAGGTACTTCTCAGCAGCCGCATATTGCCTTTTCTTATCCTCGATTGCCAGTGCCGCCAAAGCCTTGTCCTGAAAGAAATTAGAGTCTATAATTGCTAGAATAGGGTTGCAAACGAGTTAAAGTTGGTTGTGAGTCGCTAAGCTTTTAGCCATTCGAACTGACCTTGAACTCGACCTAAAAAGCCTATCAATCTATATATATATATATATATACATACTTCCTTCGTCTGCTAACAATAGATACATTGTGCTATTTAGGATATTTACAAATAATAGACACACTTATTTAGTGTGAACCCCACAATATTCAGAAAATATACCATCATTTTATATTCCCTCGGTCATTCAAATTTATACTCACTTATTTCTTTTGAGTTGTAAAAAATTATTCTCGTTTTTTTTTAGCAAAAAAGTACTATCTTTTTTATACTCCCTCGGTCATCCGATTGTACGCTCAAATGTTTGGCACGAGTCTTAATAAGAAATGAGTAATAATTGTTACTTTTTGTATTTTTTACCATAAAAGACAAAAATAACAATTATTACTCACTTTTACTAAAACTTGAGTTGGCTCGATCACTTGCAACTTTTATTTAAGCTAAGAATCATGGAATCAAAACATAGAACATAATAGGAAAAGAATATACCGGGGGCAAGTCTTGGTAACTTCTCAATGTGTCGAGAATCGGTTTTGTTTTCTTCTCCAGGTCCTTCTTGTGTTCTGCCATTTCTACCAACACCCCGTGACTAATCTCAGGGCTATAGCCCACACGGTTGAGCAGCGCCTGCAACATACATCGTGTTTGAAAATTTTATAAATCAAGTTTTTTCCTATGTTATAATGGGCTTTGGATCAATGGATTTGCAATACCGAAATATCAAATCTTGGTCCATTCTTGGGGGAAAAAACAACCCAGAAAGAATGCTACAACAGCAAAATAGGGGCAAAAACAAAAGAGAGATTGCATCCAATTGTTTCTAACCCAACATAACAATAACATCAGGGGTAAATTGCAAAAAAATTCCATGTGTAGCAAGAAATCCTTTAAAGAAAACATGGAAAAATCATCAAATAATCTTCTTATGGTTTCTGTAAAAACTTGTAAATAAGTACTTAAAAAAGACAGATAATAATTATCACAAATTTACAGTAAGATGGGTAGTAGTATTACTTTTAAAAATATCAAAATGGTTTTCTCTATATAGGGCTGTGTTTGCTTGTTTTTTATTTTTTAAGATTCCATATATCATATAGAGCTAACTGTAACCTAGCTAAAACAAATAAACCAGACCTTATAATTCGAATATTGTTGCAGATACTGGTTTTCTTTAGATTCCATTATTGCCAAGTTTGTCTTCCACGTCTCCATTTGAGATTCACAAGGAGGTATATCATCTTCTAACTGTGCAAGCGTTCTGACAAGAAATAATAAAGAATTATTACAAAAGGGGCGAGGGCGATGATATATAATTTAGTATTACTATTATCATTATTATTTATTAATTTATTTTATTACACCATTGCCAACATAGAAAAAACTATTTGTATATGCAGTGAAGAAATCAATGGCTTGCAAAATCACCTTTTCAAATAAGTCAATCTTGCAATTGCTTTCCGGGTATAGTCAAGAAGCTCTTTTGACTCCTGCTGAACTTTAGCCCTCTTTTCTTCTACTGCTGTTTTTCTCAAGGATAGATCCGCCATAGCTACAAGAAAACTAAAGCAAAAATCCTCCCGTAAATTTGTTAGTTAAAAAAACATTAGAATTATCCATGAGTTTGTTAGATCTGCCATACCTACTTAGTTCAGTATCCCTAATATTCAACAGATTCGCCACTCCGGCAAGAACTTGGGAAGATGACACCACATTTGCAGGTAAACTTTCTTGCACTAATCCCACATGCTCCAGGATCTCTCTTATCCTAGCAGCTGTGTGACAAACAAAAACTGCTAAATCCCCTGACAACAAATACGGCGATAGCCACAAACCACATTCATGCGTGTATGTTTTATGAAAGATAGGACTACTAAGTAAATTAATTCAATGAAATCAATTGCTTAATTGAAAAACAAACTTTATAGTTTAGCCAAGAATAAGTATATGATTGTTAGTTTGTGTTTTTAATCTTGTTTTCACAACATAATATTATTTTCCTTTAAAATACACTCAATCCAAAATTTATTTTCTATCCAAAACACCCAATCCAAACCATATTTCTATTTTAAACATCACATTAAAATAGAATATATATACATATATATAAAGAATTCAATTTTTTTTAAAAAAAATCAAATCAAAAAACAATCCAAAAACACAAACTAAAACCTAAAATCTTTGGTTTTCTAATCCTACGTTATTGTAAATATTGTATCCTTCATACCAAGCATGGCACATAACCAACTACACCTCAGATCCAAAACAGATTTCACATGGATCATCACAAACAATGTCCACAAGTAATACTTTACCAATCAAGGGGAGAACACAAAGACAAACCACCTATGATTTAGATCCACATTGCTAAACTTTCCCTTAAACCTAACGAAATCAATCCGCCATGAATCCATTTTAAATTGAAGCACACACTGCCGAACTGAAAAGCCGTAAGCACAATTTACGAATATTCAAATGGTTAAAAAAATTTACTCCATTTTTCTATTTTTTTATGTAAAAAAGGGACCTTGTGAGCGATATTCTGCTGCCTTATGACGAAAATCATTTGCTACAATGGCGGCGGCCTGAGTTTTGGCTTGCGAAAGCGTTGCAATGTTGTGTAAGTGGGCAATGCTCCGCGGAGTGTACTCGAAATCAGGCACGTCTTTGCCGGCGGCATCAAATTGTGCGACGAGCCATGCTTTCACTTCCGCGATTCGGTTTGCGTCAAAGCCGGCGGAAGTGCCGCCGCTCTTCGAGGGCTCCGACGACGACGCCATTGATAGAGCGGGAGAAGGAGGATCGGAACCCCCAACAAATTCACTCATTTTTGCTTCCCAATTCCGATTTCCAAATTCAAAACCCTAACCCACTAATCGTTCAAATTTTTTTGAATTGCAGCGTATATACTACTCAAAATGTTAGGATCGTACCGGTTCGGGTCGATAATCACACACCTGACCCGTCCTAATGGGGAAGGGGCATTTGTTTGGACCGGATCGGGTCTATAAGCACACACCCGACCCGTTCTAATGGGGAAGGGGTATGTGTTTGGACCGGACCGGATCTATAAGCACACACCCGAAACGTTCTAATGGGAAAGGGGTATATGTTCGGAGGTTTGTATTTTGAATTTGAGATTGAAATATTAAAAATTTTGAATTTAAATAATTAAATAATACTGTAATATAAATTGATAATGATGTGATATTTTAAATATAAAATTAATTTTTAATATAATATAAAAAAATTAAAAATATATTTAATTTGATGTATTTAAAACAAAATTATTTTACTAATTAATAGTACAAATTTGGTAAAATTTGATTTAAAAAAATGCATCTTTAAAGTTGTTTTTAAATAAGAAAAAAATTATTTTCTGTTCCTATATAAATCACTTTGATCCCATTGAAATTTGTTTGATTAATTGTGGTCATATTTAAACTAAAATTAATCAATTTTAACATTATTGTAGCTCATACAAAAAGAATACGGTTGCATTGTCTTAAACACGACAGTGTAATATTTTTTGTCCCTCCATAAATCACTTTGATCTCAATAAAAAATTTTTGATTAATTTTAGTCACATTTAAAATAAAATTAATCAATTTTGGCCTTCTTGTAGCTAACACAAACAAAATACAGTCGCACTGTCATGAAGACAACTATGTTGGATAAAAATAATTAAAATTCACACAAACAAAACTGGTATGATCATGACTCCGTTTTGAATATAGTTGTGTTTGTACATCTGTTCATCACTGTGTCCAATATGATGTTATGAATACAATCATGTTCATCACTTTATTCAAAGTCTTGTGCTAGCCCATGCTTAAAGTCTTATTATTATTTTTCTTTAAAAAAAATGACCATATTCTAAGTTAGGTAAACATACTCTGTTCTAATTGTTTATATTATATACATTTATAATTTAACTATTTTTTACAATTATTTAATAATATAAAAAATAATCAAATTTTAAATATTTTAAGAAATAATTGCAAAATAACAACAATCATAAATTAATATATATTTTAAAATATATTTAGATAGGTAAGAATAACGAGAATCTCATTAACACAAGTATTCCTTTAGTTCAAAATCGTAGGGAATATATATCTCAAACCGAGTACGCAAGTTTAATATATTTGATGAGTTGTACCAAATCCAACATAGCTTATGCTATAAACAAATTCAGTACGGATATGAGTATTCAAGTTCCGAGTGTTGAAAAACTATTGTTTATGTAGTTAGGTACTTATGGTACACCAAAAATTTATGAATTACATTATAAAAGACATCTGATTATAGTTGAAGACTATTTGGACACAAACTGAATACATTTTATTCAAGATCAACTAATGAATATGTATTCAAATTAGCCGGTGTAGTAATATCATGTCATCGAAACAAACAGCGATTGCGAAATTTACATTGACATAAATTCGCTATTCTCTCGAGGATTTTTCAAAATTGAATAAACATGTCTATGCCATTACCTTATACTATTTGCTATTGGTAGAGCAAAGAGCGCCGTGTTGTAATGGGAAGAGTAACAGATTCGACATAACATAATTTTGTAATACAACTACTCATGGACTCGTCTATACTAACTAATAATCCCATCGTCCCAAAATTATAGTTTGAGTTGTGTTTGACACGAAATTTAAGAAATATTGATATTATATTGGTAGTGAGTTAAAAAATACGGGTAAAAAATATTTTTGCCCTTATGAATATATTAGTGTAAAAAGCAGTGGCAATTGTGTAATAATAATGAAAAAGTATGAATAATTTTACGGTGATATGATTATTTATGGAAATGAGACTATTGTTTTGCGACGGACAAAAATGATAAATAAGACTATTGTATTGGAACGAAAAGAATACTTAATTTATAGTTTATTTGTTTAAAAATAAAAAATATATATATTTATTAAAAAATTAATATTATATTAAAATATTTACTATTTGTATATTATATATACATGGTTTTGTCTACACAATACACTTTCATTCATTTGACACTAATTATTTTTTTTAAAAATATTATATCAAATATATTTCTTATCTCACAAAACATCAAAATCAAATACTAAACTTTTACTTCTTTTTTTTTTTTTTCAAAATTTCAAAATTCCAAAAATACCGGTCTAAACAAAAAATATATATATATATACATAAAAAATATTCCCTCGTTTCTACATTGGATGTCTAGGTCACCATAATACATTAGTGAAAATAATTATAATATGATATAAATAATTATAGATTAAAGTTAAAGATAACTAATTAATTTAATTAAAATTTAAAAAAAATTAAATTAAAAAATTTAAAATAAAATTAAAATGTATAATTATTTTTTCAAAAATTTAACGTGTACATATTTTAGGTGGCACTAGAGTACAAAATAAACAAACCCCGATTACCGAATGAATTGCAAAAGGAGGAACTGATTATGTGGATGATTAACTCTTCTTCTTCGGTATAAAATACACTCTCTCATTTTTAATCATTTTTTCGCACACAAAAATCTACTTGTGTTCTTATACTTAATTTCGATTATTTTTTCAGTTTTATTTATTGAATAACGTCACTCTCGTCGCTGAGCCTGAGCATGGCGCACGCTACACATCTCAGGTCACTCGCTGCATTCCTTTCTGCAGATTCTACTCACCAGAAGAAGCATGTAAGTGATAATTTTTAAGCGAATCTTAATTTCGGTTATTCTGTTGAATTTTGAGCGCTTTAATTTGTTTCTGTTAGTGTCGGCTGGTGTTGTTAGGGTTCCGTTTTGAAATTACAGCGCTTAATTGGAGTTTTTTTGACCTGGTTGATTGAATGCGCTGTGGATGTGTTGTATTGAATGGATTGAAATTAGTTGTTGTAATTCTGTTAAAATTCTCTTGAATTTGATTTATGGGAAGATTGAGCGGAGTGTTTGTGAATGATGCTTCAATTTGTTCTTTTGTAGGATTTTCTGTGTTCCTCTTCTTATTTATCGCTGTTTCTTGTTCTGATGCGGCACTTTGTTGATTTATTAGGGTTTAACGAACGATAATTCACCATTGATCTATGGTGGCAGAACCGTAGTGTTCAGGAAGGGGAATTGTAATGCCAATTATTACAACTTTAAGTTAAATTGCTCAAGAGATAAAGAAATGAATATCACCCCGGCAGCATTGGCTGATGGCGTTGCTGCGAGCTCAAGTGGTGAGTGCTTATCAGATTTTTGGAGTGCTATATCGAACTTTCCTCTGTGTGGTTTTAGTGTATTGTGCATCTATGTTTTTGATTGACGTAAATGTGCTCATTGTAGCATAATTGTGAACTTGTTAACTCATTACAGAAATCGAGATCGCACACAGCACTGATGCGGTTGAGCCAAGTGTGTCAACGATATTGATGAATTTTTCCAACGAATTTGATCCTTACGCCGCATTGAGCACACCTCTATACCAAACAGCAACTTTTAAGCAGGTTAATCTTTTTAAGCAGAGATTATGGAATCTTTTGGTTCCCGGTGAAGTAAATGAGATAATACTTCATGGTATTTATTACAAGACTAGAGAGTAAGTGTTAAGGAATTCAGATGGTCTCGAAAGAAGATCCATGGGAGTTATCGTTTGGTGAAAATTATAACGAATCAAGTCGAATTGTGCTTTTTCACTATTTGAAATCACAGAGAACTGTAAATCAATTTTCAAGAATACTGTAAGTTGTGAAAAAATGCATTCTTATATAAATTCTAGTATTTTGTAATGAAGCTATCTTCTGCAGCCTTCAGCTACAGAGAACGGACCTTATGATTACACAAGAAGTGGAAATCCAACACGAGATGCTCTGGAAAGGTTATCTCTACGTTGTGTTATTGTTATAGACATATATTTTTTCATTTCCTAATATGGTTGCGTACTTCATTCCATGGGCGACTAAGTCATTCTTTGTCTATTGTTAGCCTTATTGCAAAGCTTGATAAAGCCGATCGAGCATTATGTTTCACTAGTGGAATGGCTGCTTTGGCAGCAGTTACTCATCTTGTTGGAACAGGTTCTTGTTCCATCTCATCTTTTTACTGCTCCAGCTGCACAGTGTTTATCCCTGCTTTGAATCTGCTGCGATCATTTCACGTTTCTACTAGCATATTCTTAAGTACATTTAATATTTATTTATGTAGCTAAAGTTTTGCATGGCATGATGTGTAACTTTGTCCCTCCTTCCATAGTTGTCAATTTGGCACCATTCCCCGCACACCTTAAATCTATTGCTTGTCTTGTATTTTTGCAGCATAGTGTGCGCCAGAGTAACATTGGAAGTCTCGGACATTCTAAACATAATTTTATCCAACTGTCCACACATTTTTTCTTATAATTGAATATTTGAATTAGAAGATTCAAATGCTGCGAGTCCTAACCCTTAACTTGTTATTTATATAGTATTCTATTGCTGTCCTTTAAGATAGATATTTGTTTCTACAAGCACATGCGATCAGCATTCACATTACTAATTGAGACTTTATATGTTTTTTGTAATTAAATTTGAATATTGGGTTATTAAATTCTATACTTAATAATTGACGCATAATTTTTTATTTTATAGATTTGTGCATAACTTTGTTATGGCACACACTGTGCGTTGGGTCATAAGCCCCCTAGGGAGCCTTTGTGTCATGCCGTACCATTTTATGCTCTCTTTCACATGGCAGGTGAGGAAATAGTTGCTGGTGATGACATGTATGGTGGTTCTGACCGTTTGTTGTCCCGGGTCACTCCAAGATCTGGAGTGGTAGTTAAGTTAGTATTAAAAATTTTCGATGTTCAATTTATCACCATTCAATTGCAAGCCTTCATACTAGTCATGGTGCAGGCGTGTGGATACAACAAATTTGGAAGAGGTTGCTTCCAATATTGGCCCTTGGACAAAGCTGGTGTGGTTGGAAAGTCCAACAAACCCTCGCCAACAGATTTCAGATATTCGTGTAGGTCATTTCTATTTTATTTTATAATTATCTGTAACCTCAATTCGGCAATTTCCATTTCATTGCCTCTGATATTCGTTATATTAATATTTTCTACACAAGGAAAGTTTAGACTCTGTGTTGCCCTTTCTCTCCTAAGAAACTGGAAATTATTACTTCAGTATGATAACTTGGCTTGTTCAACTTTTCACATTAATGTGAATCAGAAAATTACTGAAATCGCACATGCTCATGGCGCTCTTGTGTTGGTGGATAACAGCATCATGTCTCCTGTCTTATCTCGACCGTTGGAACTTGGAGCTGGTAATAATATGTTGTTTATTGTTCACTTGAGCTCTCCTTCAAGAAGAATATATCGTCTATTTTTTTCTTTTTATAACGTGGGAACCTAATAATATATTGTTTCTTGTTCACTTGAGCTCTACTTCAAGATATATCGGCTATTTTTATTTATTTATCTATTTATTTTTGATAATGTCGGAACTCGTAGCCGCTATTCTGGGTAAACCTCCGGCCGAACCTAGTACCCTACAAACTAAGCCTGACAAAATATACATATCGTCTATTTTAATTATATGAAACATTCTATGTAACCATAGTTTGTTAATTGATTTCCAGATATTGTGATGCACTCAGCTACTAAGTTCATATCTGGCCACAGTGATCTCATGGCTGGAGTTCTCTCCATTAAGGGAGAAAGGTTTGGTCTACGAGTTACATCTATCAAACTTTTGAATTCGGCATTTTTTTTCGATTCAACGCCAAAATTTAACTTGTTAGAAAGTGCTTTTTCCGAATTCAATGTTATCACCAACATTAGAAAATTGCAAGTTTCACTTTTTTTCTTCTTTTTTGAGATTTTAAGAAATAATGAACTTGAGTAACTTACGATTCGAGGAGTTACTGATTTATGGATTTGTCTCTTCATCCAATAGCTTGGCAAAAGACCTTTACTTCCTCCAGAATGCCGAGGGCTCTGGATTAGCTCCATTTGATTGCTGGCTTTGTTTAAGAGGCATCAAAACAATGGCTCTACGTGTTGAAAAGCAACAGGTCTATATTTTATACTTTCTTTGATATTGATTTTTAAGAATAATCAAATTTTATGAACTTCCCTCGAATGTTCTTGTTTCCATTCCCCTAAAATAATGAAAATAGGTTTGAAATTCTAAAACCATGCTGTTAATATGTGATTTAATTCTCAATAATATTGATGATGCATGCCGGGGTATATTGCATTCTTTTGCCGAAAGCTGTCATTCTTTTATGGCATCGACTGCTCTGAAATTTAAGTATCATATACTGAGCAGGAAAATGCGCAAAAGATTGCTGAATTTCTAGCCTCACATCCTCGGGTGAAAAGAGTAAACTATGCAGGCCTGCCCGGTCATCCTGGGCGAGATTTACACTACTCTCAGGTATTAAACTTTATACAACATTTATTTCGTTGCTTATACAGAGTAATTTTCACAATTCGAAGAACGAAAATTAGGAACAAAGCAAGGAAATGGATAAATTGCATACCCCATTAAACAACTTGTTTTGTTGAAAAAAAAAAAAAGAAGGAAAAAACACTTACGCTCCTTTTTGTAAATTGCACTATTTTAAGGGTGTGTTTATTTGGGAGTTTAAATTTTTGATTGAAATTTGAATAGTAAAAATTTTGAATTAGAATAGTTGTATGATGATATAAATAGGGATTAATGTGATATTTTGAATGTAACATTTATTTTTAATATGATATAGAAAATAAAAATAGATGTTTGATTTTGATTTTTTTTTTTAGAGAAATTTTTTAATGAATAGTAGAAACTTGATAAAATGTGATAGAGAAGAAACTTTGGAATTCTTTTCGCTTTTATTTGTTATATGGCCTTGTTTGTAGTTCATTTAAAAGGAACTGGGTGTTGTGTTTGGTTGTGCTTCTGAAGTGTTTCGATTTAGTGTTTTTTTTTTTGTTTTTTTTTTTTCTGAATGAGATAGGCATTGCACATAGGTGTGTTTCTCTGGGTTTAAATTCGGAAGATTTGGTTTGGATTTTGTATTTAAATAATGTATAATGTGATGTTTCGTGGGAGGAAATTTTAGAAAACACAGTCCAAATAATAAAATTTTGAAAACTCTCGCCAAATAGACACTTTGATTAATGTTTGTTCAGGGAGAAACAATATACCCCTCCCGTTCCATTTGAAATGGGGTTTTTAAGATTTTGTAGGAGATTAAGAAATAATAGTGTATTTTATTGGTTAGTGGAAGTGTGTAAGAAATTTTGACAATTTTGTCATTTGACTTTTTGTATAAAGTATTGTATGTGTAACGGTATATTTGTAATTTAAATAAAAGTTAAAGGGTGTTTACTACTGAGAAATAGAGAGAGAAATGAAAATGTCTCAATTTCTCTTGTTTGGTTTAGACAAAATTCAGAATTGAGAAATAAACTATTTTCTATTATCTCCTATATACAGAAGTGGTGAGAAATAAAATTGAGAAAATGCAGTATGTTTATATGTTTATTTATTTTATTTTTTTATATTTAACTTTTACTATTTATAATTTGTGTTTATCTGTTATTTTTTATTTTTATTTAATTTTTATGATTTTTATATTATTTAAATCTCATATTGAAATTATTATTATTAAAATAAATTATCAAACTAAAAATATAACTAAAAAATATGATAATATTTTATTTATTTTATTTATTATTTTTTTCAACTAGCATTATTATAGAGTATTCTTTTTTTCTTTTTTTTTAAATTTTTATGCATTGTATTTTTTTTAGATTTCTAACTGAATTCTTTATTTTACCAAACAAAACAATCAATTTGCATTCTACTGAATTCCTTTTATTTGCAGTTTCATTCTCTGTACCAAGTGCATCCTAAGGGTATTTTGATATTAGTTAATAATTATTTTTACTAAAAAAAAAAAAAGAAGGTATTTTTGAATGTGACGGACGAAAATGATAAAAATAGTAGTTTGAATTAGAACATATGGAATATATTTTATGGTAGATTGCACAGTACAGTACAAGATGGAAAACACAAACAAACACACATTGTCGTCATCATATCTCATTTTCCCTTGGATTCATCCAAATTTGCAGGCAAAGGGTGCAGGGTCCGTGCTAAGCTTCTCAACGGGTTCTCTGGCGCTCTCAAAGCACGTAGTCGAGACAACCAAGTATTTCAGCATAACCGTTAGTTTTGGTAAAATGCTCGTAACTTCAAACCTCAGTTGCAATTTCATCCCATCCCATTCTATTCTCTTTCCATAAGTAGTCCAAGTATACGACAATTTTGAACAACTTGTACACGAAATTTTGATGGGCAGGAAGTGTGAAGTCTCTCATCAGCTTGCCGTGCTTCATGTCGCACGCAAGCATACCGGCTGATGTCCGCGAAGCCAGAGGTTTATCCGAGGACCTGATCCGGATATCAGTTGGCATCGAGGATGTCGGCGACTTGATTGCTGATTTAGACCGCGCCCTGAGAACTGGACCCCGGTAAGTTAGCTATTATGAGTCTTAAGATTGGTTAAAAGCTGTTTTTGAGATATGTTTTGTTTTTGTTTGCTTTGCTAATTTTACTTCTCTCTATTGAAGAAAGTGACTATTTTTTATATTGAATTTTCATAAAATAATCTTATACTGATCAACGAATATATGTATTATATATATATATATAGTGATTATATAACTGAGTGTAACAAAAATTTAACTATTATTTGTTTGTGCATATATATACTTGAAAAAAATACACAATTTACTAATTTTATAATAATAATAATAATAATAATAATAGTATACTACTATTTATAGATTTCCAAAAGATAAAAAAAAATATATATATTTTATATCAAAGTAAAAATAATTATTATAAAAAAATCAAATATTTAATCTAAAAATATTTTATATTTTTGATATAATTTTTGGTATCACACGCCAAAAGCATGAACGGAGCCATTATAAACCCTCCAAATAGCAGCAGATGGTGTTGTTTCCACGACTAAAATTGAACTGAAAATAATAAATGAATTTATTTCTCAATTTTTAATTTTTAATTCTACGACTAAAATTTATATTAACATATTTCTACAAAAATCATGAGATTGGTCCAAACACAAATAACGCTATTCAATCATATAATAAAATCACATACTTAAACTAAAATTCAAATCAAAACAAAATAAATCTAAAAAAAAGTTTAGCATGAATTGTATAGAGAATATATATTTATATATCCTTCTCTTCCGGAAGCAATTTCCCCAAACACGACGCAGTCGCGTGTATGTGTTTATCGCACACATCGTTCTACAATGGACCATGAGGAAATACATACACTAAAATACTCCATACAATCCACCTGTGAATTTGGAAACAAAACAAAAATCCCTTCTCTGATCGCAACATCTAAACAACATTCTAACGCGAACTCAACTCAACTACGGGGTCAAATGAAATCTCCATTTTTCAACACAAAAGCCATAGAGAGAGAAAAGAAAAAGAAAAAGAGAGAGAGAGGATATTTTACACAATTGCAAATTACTTACCGATAATAATTACTTGCATAAATCCCCATAAGACAAACTCAGCTAAAAAACATACAAACAAACATGATTGCCACAAATCAGACAAATTCTCTACTCACCTGAGGCGAAAAAGCTTAGTAGTCGCACCTAAATCCTAAAATCTAGAGTTTCCATCGGTTACAGCTAATAATAATAATAATAATAATAATAATAATAATCATTGCAAAGGGAACAACAATCGACCGTACCTTCAATTAGTGTAGCTCTCTAATTCTTGCCACATATTTACAGAAACCTCTTGACTCGTCACCGAGTATCCATCCTGCAACACTAGTCGGTTAGAACTTCAATAAGCATTTCAGAACAAATAACATAATAAAGTATCGTAGACTTTGGGGTGAATCCTTTTTTGGTACCTAAATTGACAAAAATGCAAAGGTTAAAGTTATACTCCTTTCCGTCTTGTAGAAATGAATCCGGTCTACCTTATTTGGTTATTCGCCATAAATGCATTTATTTACTTTTTCATTCGGATCTTATAAATAATACACTAGAATTCAATATAATTACGACAACACCATTCAATAATTTTTAACAAAAAAATCGTAAGGATATTTTAGTCTTTTCACTAAAGACGATTACTTCTATATATTAAATATTATCTATTCGTTAAAACCATGCAAAAAGCAAATACATACATTTGAACCAAATTGAGGGAGTAGTAAGCAATATCCGTGTGTAAGCACATTCTACTCGCTTTAGTTACGTGTGAAATAAATCGATATGGATCCTACATTGAACTGTAATATTAAGATGTTCAGCATATTTGTTTATCGTTTATAGTATGGGTTTGTTCACTCAACCATTTTTTTATGACGCGATTTCGATGAATATTACCCAAAAATACAGTGTATACATAGATTAAGGCAATATATAATATATATACTCTATTCAATTACAAAAAATTAACAATTTAACACAAAATATTATTACTCTCTCCGTCATGTAAAATTATGCCTATTTAAACGGGCACGAATTTTAAGAAAAATGGGTAGAAATAGGAAAATTTTTCTTTTACAATAAAGAGAAAGTAGAAAAAGTGAATTTTTTTTTACTTAATAGAAAAATAAGAATAAGTTTGGATTACAATCAAAAAAGGAAAATAGGAATAAATTTGGATGACAAATGGAGTATTTTTTATATTATCGACACAATTTTTCGTACCTGACATAAAAAACACATTCATTCAAAAACACAAACTGACCACACCCTACAAGGGTTTGTTCTTTTTGTAAAAATATATAACACATTTTTTTAAAAAAAATTAATATCTTACAAACATTAATTATTATTATATTATCTATACACGTAACGAAACAATTTCACAAAACAAACACCCCCCCAAGTATTCAATTAAGTTAGCGTAATCCAATACTTCTCTTGTATGGTTCAACAAATGTATACCATAATTAGATAGTTTTTTTATACTATTCAAACCCACAAATTTAAAATAAATCGGTGCACATGATCCGAATCCAAATCCAAAAAATATGTTCAAAACAAAAAAAGTGTGTTTGTTTTATGCGATTGTTGGAAAGAAATTTTTTTTATGTGAAATATAAAGAATTGTATAGAGAACATAAAAACAATGAATGCGTGGAGTGTATCATTCTTTTTTAAAAAAATATGGAAAGAAATAATAGAAAGAACATAGCCAAAGTGATATTTCCGCTGCCAAAAATGATCAAGTAGTAGCATTTTATTATATAACACAAAAGTACTGAAATAACCATCCCATACGATACGAGAGACAAACAACATAGTTTAAAACAGCGCATGTAATGAAGAACAAAACAACATAGTTTAAAACAGCTCATGTAATGAAAGAACAAAACAGAGTGCACACGACAACTGCAGGGTAATTTATTTGAAGAGAATGAAATGTTTCGGAGTACCATAGAAGTAACGCATTCAGTCGCTGCCGAAATCCTCATAACTCAAGCCCTCCGATATTGTGTCCAACCTCTTCATGTCTGTCCAAATTATAACAAAACTATTTAGCATATTTTCACTTCTGCAGTTGGTGAAAATCCGCAACCTTAAAAAAAAAAATTACCTGGTTGTTCGGTCCTGATTTGAGGATCCATGAAGTTTGTATCGGCTCCCAGGAATGGAGATCCCGAATAGCTCTCGAGTATGTCTGCTAAGAAACATCAAACATAAGAATTATAATACACACATATCTATCTACCTATGGCATCAGATCACCAGCCCATCACACAAAGTGATGTATATATACAAAATATGTATGTATATGTGATATATAAATATATATAATGTAAGTATATGGGTACATATACATACATATTTTGTCAGCCCCATCACACAAAGTGATGTATATATACACAATATGTATGTATGATATAATAACTATATATAATGTATGTATATGTTATATATCACATATACATACATATATACATACATCTTTTGTCGGCCCCATACATATACATACATATTTTGTATATATATATCATATATTTGATGGGGCAGGGTGGGGCTGGCCGAATGATCCCGTCCCATCTATCTATCTATCTAGAGAGAGAGAGAGAACCAGTGCTGTTAGAAAAATCAGCTGTGAGATCAGATAAGCTGAAGTTTCGCGGAATCTGTCCAAGGAACCCATATGAGTTCGCCTCAGGGTCCAACATTGCCCCATTCATCGTTCCTGACCCAGCCTCGGTGCTTCCGAAAGGGGAAACCGAAGGTTCTCCAATGGAATTACGGGGTTCTGGAAAAGCGTTGTCCGCACCAAACATAAATGGAGAATCCCCTGTGAAGCTGCCCTCCTGTTTAACCATCACCCCGTTGACTCCTTGCATCATTCCCACATTTGAGTTCTGACTCAATAGCATGTTTCCTGTCACATCCATCCTTCCAACATGCCCCGACATATTGACTGGAATTTGAGCGTGTGCTTGTAAAGAGGATGCACCGTTTGTGTATACATTCGGCATTATGTTCATAGCTTGGTGCAAGGTTTCCTGCTTTACAAGCGGTCCAGTAGGTTGCGGGGCTTGGAAAGCCGAGTTGTGCACTGCAGGCGTAACCATGAAAAAAAATATCAGCGCAAGATAGGTTAATGCAGTCGAAAATCATGCTAGAACAAAAAAGTTGCATGTTTGGATTGTATTTATCTAAACAAAAGAATTCTGCAACACCTAGTCCGACAAATTGTTCAGGAAAATGAATGTCTTACCTTTTTATATAGATATTAACACTTTAATAGTTGCATAAGCATTTCTTGTACCCAGTCTTCAAATTTATTCAAATTCATATAACTCAATGTTCTTGGCTCTTACATCTAACCACATAAGCCAACCCTTCTATATCAATTTACATCCGATCAGGGACAATTCTATGTGGGGGCTAGGGGGGCAGCTGACCCCCAGCCCCAAAATATAGATTTATTTTTAGTGTAAAAAATAACAAAATTATGCATTTTATATTATTTTGCCCTGCCCCCTTTCATCCAATTTTTTATTTTATAGTGTAAAAAATGATAAAAGTTTTGTAGTTTTGTTTATTTATACTTTTTAGGTTTTATTTTTTTAGTAAAAAATATTATATTTTATATAATTTTGTTAAATTTTTTTCTAAATATTTAATTTTTACCTATATTTTTCTTTCTTCTTGTTTACCTAGTTGCACCGGAAGAACTTAAAAAAAGACAAATTTGAATAAAAAAAAAAAAAAACTGCTATTTTGCCCTATCGGAGTTTTACGACTAATTCCGTCACTGCATCCGATCAAACATACATTTCAAACATATGTTTTACTATTCATATTACCAACCGAATCATGAAAAACATGCTATCAAGCCGCTCTATTTAGCCCTAAAGCTTATTGATCAGTGACTAGGAATTTCACTTGCGATAGTGCTTAATCTGAGGAATCAGACTTACAAGAATGAATCTGAGATCCATTAGAATTAGGAAGGGGAGCAACTCCTGCCTGGTGCATTTGGTGCATTAGCTCAGCCTGTCTCTGGAGCAGCTGATTAAATCTCATTATTTGCCCCTTCACTATCAACCTCAAGTGATATGCCCTGAAGAATTCTTGATTTTCGGCTTCAAGTTTTTGCCACACTAGAAAGAATGAAAGGTGTTATTACAATATGTTAATACACGACACACAAAGAAATATGTTGCAGAAAAGCAAACATGATTATAACTATTTTTTTTTTTTTCTCTTCTCTCAGGACAAAGATATGTCATTTAATATACGGAAAGGGTAGGGCTCCATTTAGACAGAGGTTTTCGAAGAGATTTGGAACTTTGGAAGTTTGAAAAAAGTAAAAAGTTATATTTGATTTGATGTTTTATGAGAGAAAAAATGTATTTAATGTGATATTCTTCTAAAAATGAATAGCAACAAATGAGTGAAAGTCGTTTGTGTAAACGGTTAGATGTAAGGTTGCCATTCAAAATGAAATGCAATCCAAACAACCAATACAATACTAAGCTGCACAAGACAAATCAATGTTTCATTGAAGTTTTAAAAATCCAAAGACTTCATTGTGAATCAGATTCTAATGGAATTCGATTCAAGTAAGATTTTCTGTGCAGATTCATTGGAATAATGTTGCGGACATTAAAGATAGGAACTATTAAATTTAGTGTTCTTCGTAAGAAACTTTCTAGTCACCAGTGATTACCCTAAATATGTGTACAGACAACATTCATACACTAGAAGTTAGGACTGTTTCCGGACTTCGTATAGGAAAAGAGCTCAACGAAGAAGAAAAATTCAAACGATAAAATTGCATAAGAGACTGAACTTCTCATTACAAGATGAAATTCAACGACTGAATTTCATGTTACCCAACACCTGGCTTAAATAACACGCTCACGAGGCATATGTGTGTGTATATATATATATATATATCTATAATTCAAGGTTGAGGTCTCACCACAAAAGTCAATCTTTTCTTAATGTCGGAAAACATTCAGCTGGTAATGAAATGTTTGCATATCTTTTATAAGAGTGCAACTTCATTTGAAATATGCAGATGTAGGAAAAGGTAAATATCACTACCTAGAAAGAACGGAGAAACAATACTGAAAGATGAAATGATAGTGAAAAGATACATGCATACAAAAATCTAGTTACCTAGTTCAGTGAAGCCAGGCTCGATTTTTGCCTGATCTAACAAGGTACTCACAACTTCTCTCTGAGTCATGTAAAGCTGAAGACACCTTTCTATAAGATTCTGTACCTGACAATCAGTAATAAGAAGCAGACAGAATTAGCCAAACCTCGAACATAACTTTCAAAAAATGACAGCTGAAGAAGAGACCACAACGGATAGCAAATCTCAACTAGAAAGAAGCTATGATCACTCATATAGACAAATTCAGTTAACATAATCCTAAAAGCTTCAATAAAAACTCACAACAACCTACAAAGACTCCAACCAATGCGAGGATATTCCAAATGAAGCGGCAGGCATCGCTTATATAAACTAATCCAATACCGTGCACCCACCCGAGTTCCCTGATTCTTATCTTGAAATATGAATTAGATAGTTTCATCCCATTATAAGACACCTGGAAGGCATTTACATAGTCCGGGGCCAAAATTTTTTCTACCCTTCCAATCTCTAACAATTCGCAACAAATGGAAATTCTCCAAGTAAAAGACCATATAACACAATAGTTACCAAACAGACCAGAAATATATATATCTATACATAATACATCCAAATTCGATTAGAATACTTACCAACTGTATATCCTGAAGTGAGACTTTCCGAACATCTTCATCGGACATTTTGCAAGTTCCGCAACTCGAATTGAGCCAATAACCACAAAGAATGAACCTAACAGGATAAATGAATCAGCTAGGGCAAATACAAATACAAAGATTAACAATAACCTTTCCTAGAATACAAATACAAATACAAATACAACAGATGAAGAGATTGCACGAATTAAAATTTTGTGCCCTAATTTATCTCCATTTCTGATCTTCTCTATATTCCTACCTACTCATCGTAATCTCTCCGAATTCGAAATCAACGAGAAACCATTCCTAACATACACTCGCGAAGCGAGGGCGAAAACGGCGTAAAACTCAAAATTCCTAATCAAAATCGCAATAAACCCTACATATTCAGCCACGATCAGCTTAAACACACACAAGGAGAATCAAATCAATCACTCAAATCGGTTAGGAACCTTTCGATATCATCGATCACACCGGAATACATCAATTCCTCGCATGCAAATCACGCATGCGCAAATTCTATCGCAGAAACCCAGAGATTAAATTCAAACACCACATAAACAAATCAGAAATTACCTGCGCTGCGATTTCCAAAACTCACCTGGAATTTGCGACACCTCTGCGATTCTAACGATGCGTTGGAGAGAGAGAGAAATAGAGACAGAGAGAGAGAGAGAGAGAGAGAGAGAGAGAGAGAGAATGGAATATAGAGAGAGAAAGTGATGGGCACCACTGCCACACGGAGCCGCGATTCATTTCCCCTGTCCGCAACACAGTTCGATATGACCAAAGCGGTGGTACAACTCCCACTCCTGAAAGTACAACACGCTTTGGTGCACTGCACCGGGGCCCACCGCATAATTTCCTCTGCGGTTACCATTTGGTAAAGTTGACAACCGCCTCGCCGAAATTGCTATCTCCACGACAGTGTACAATTTTTTGTGCGTGATGTACAACACTGTGTGCGGATTGGGCTCTTGAATCTGATATCGGCACACCCTGATGTTGTTGAATTAATGAACTTAGCCCTTTTGATTTTGTGATTTGGATAGGAAATTATTTGACAATGATTGCATGTAATTTTCCTAAAGAAAATAAAAATAAATAACATGTGAATATTAAAACAATAAAAATAAATAAAAATATTCCAATTATATTGGAAATGTGGGTTTGTGTTTTATTATTATTATTTTTTTACTGTATATATAGTTTTTATTTGTGTTTTTAAAAATATAGATTTGGTTACGTGCTACTTTGGATAAATTAGCACGGAGCTGATTTTTTCATATAATTAATATCAATTAAGAATTTTATAAAACAAATATTAAAATTTTAAATAACAAATCTTTTATATTAATATAATATAAATATAACATAAAAACGAATAGCACATCTGCACATGTGATGATTTTTTCAAAAAAATGTCAATTTAATAGTTCAAGAAATACTAATAAAAAGTCTAAAAGCACATATTAAGAGTTCAAAAATCATATGTTTTTAATATAGTGCATGCTCTTATGTCATAGAACATATGTTATTTGAGAAAAAAAAAAAAATCAACATGGTTTTGATTTAACCGCCACAAAACATATATACTTCTTTAGTCTATTTAGGGTATGCTTGTTTGAGAGATTTTGTAAAAAAATTATTATTCATTCAAAAAAAAATTTCCAAAATAATCACATCAAATTGCGTTTATTTAAAGTACTAAAATGATAAAAGAAGTGAGATATGAGGCTAAAAAAATAATTTACCAACACATTTTGTAAATAAAAATAAAAAAATTTTCACGTGTTGCTTGTGTGACATTTACATGGCGATCACATGTTAGCCCCGTCGACGCCACGTCAGCAACGGCAGAACAGCGTGGCGAGATCGGCACTAGATGACCATTTTAGCGAAAAGTTTTATTTACAAAAATATTTTTCAGACAAATTTCATTTAAAATCCTAAAATAATAAAAGAAAATTATCAAATACGGGAGTTTACCTTAAATTAAAATATAAGGAAACAAAATCTTTATACACAAAATACACACCAACTATATGTGCCGAAAAATATAAATATAGCATACAAGACATAAGCTCGTAGCACACGACATATTGAATAATATTATTGACACTAAGATAAGGATATCGTTTCTTAATTTAGAAATTGTAGTATCTACATAATATAATTTATATTCTTACAACTTACAATATATTACACAAATGTTATTATTTTTATATTACACAATATTAATAGGGATGTTTTTGTTTTTTTAACTACAAACTAATATAATACTAATATTTAAAAATTAGCGTATAAAAAACAAATGCTACTTTTCTTAGGGGGGGAGTAGAATTTTTTTTCTCTTATCACATCACTTAATTGTCAAATTATATTATTTAATAGTATTCATCTAAATTCTCGTCCCGAAAAACATATATTGTACGATATATGAGACGGAGGGAGTACAATACACTATTTATATTTATATATCATGTGAACTAATAGCACATTACAATAGTCTATACAACACATATTTCTGTCTATAATGTCTAACTTACTCTATTTAATTAAAAGTATTTGAAAATAAATCTAAATAATTTTTTTTTTTTAATAAATAGGCTAAAACGTAAACCTTGATAAGTTGTATGGCCTAATCACACCCCTAGTCGAGGTCGAGAATTTAAATGTTCTTACTTATTTGAGCGAAATTTATGGTAAATATATATTTTGAAGTATTTAATCAAAATGAAGATGTCGACTTCTTATGAATTCTTTGAATACAGCCAAAATAGATGATCCATGTAGTTGGCAATGTAATCGACGCACGTGAAGAGGACAATGGCTTAGGTGGCTTAGTCTCCGGCCCCATGCAGTTTCGCCGGTGCTCAAAATTAAATGTCAAAATCATACTCCAAAATTTGTATACAAAATTTTATTCGAATGGAGATTTTATGCATATTTTGTTTTTGTTAAATATAACAAAATTTAAACAATTTTAGTGTGTTTTGCGAATAGGAATAAGTTTTTTTTTTTTTTTTTTTTCATATAAAGTATAAAAATTGTGTAAATAATATAAACATAATGAAGGTGTAATATATATATTTTAAAGAAGTGTGTGAGATTATTTTACAAAAAGAACACACATTAGTTTGGTTGAATACAAAAATTTAAAAATAATAATATTTTAATATTAAAGTTGGATATGTAAAAAATAAAATGAAGTTAAATTATTAAAAGATTGATAAGGTAACAACAAATTAATTATTACTTTCTCTTTTTTTTTGTCATTTTTTTTTTGTCATTCAAATTTATTTTTATTTTATTTTTAGTAAAAAAATACAATTTTTTTATGTGTTATTTATCCTAAAAAAAACTATTTCTATTTTATTTATTTTTCTTAAAATATGTGGGAACATTTTATTTTTTTTTATGAAAGAGAAAGTATTTGTTAAAGTAATAGTAATAAAATAATGAACAAATAAAATTATTTATTATAAATAATTTGTGAATAAATTTAGTGAACGATCCAAAAATATAATTTTAGCATACAAAAATATTATATTTATATTAAAAAACGCAAGTGTGTATGTGATTACCCAATTCACCAAACAACTTTTTAATAAGCAATATTTTTATTCTTTATAAGATCTTAAAAGTAGATTAAGGATTGAATGAAGATTGATTTTATTTTATGTGTTGATTACTTTTAAGCCCTAAATAGTATTATTAGTGGTTTAACCCTAAAGCAAATTTCTTTCCCACTAAACTTTTTTGAATTTGGCAATCGAATCTTATTTTATGCTCTTTCATTACTAATTTTTGAACACAAATTGCTAATATTCCATTTGAGATTTTTCTTGAAAAAATAAAATAAAATAAAATCAATTTTAATAGATAATGGTGGAATAATTTTGATAAAAAAAAAAAAAAAAACTTGTGATTCATATTATTTTAAAAAAAAAAAAAATCACATTGAAGATTTGTTCTCTTTGACTTGTTTCAATTTGTTTATTATGCAATCTTTGTGAATTTCTAGTAAATATAGATTTGTGTGTGTGTATATTTTACTCCCTCCGTCCCATGTAATATGGGTGTATTACTGTAGAGACGGGAATTTAGGTAAAGTATAATTAGTAAGTAATTAAGAAGTGTATTAGTAAAAATAATTATAGATTACGATTAAGATAAGTAAATAGTTTAATTAAAATTAAGAACATTATAAAATTTAAAATGCGATCAAAGTGCATAATTATATTTCCAAAAATAGAAAGGACAAGTTAAGTGGAACGAACGAAAATAGAAAATAGAGACAAATTATGTTGGACGAAGAGATTATTTTTTTTACTTGTGGTCACTATTCATTTATACTCATTTAATTTATTTTCTGAAAATATCATATTATATATTTACTTTTTATTTAATATATAAAAGTTATTCAAAATATTACATCAAAAAAATTTATTAGTACAATTCAATGTTTGTTAACATTCTAAAAACACAAAAACACAATATAGAGCTTTGTTTAGTATGTAAATCTCATTTTTTCTTATAAAACTTTAGCCGTTCGAGATAATTATACTATTTTTTTTTGTTATCCGTAAAACTTGTATATAATTTATTTATAATAAAAAAAATTATCCAATCATAATTTTATTACTCATAGTTTAACAAATAACAACCATTTTGTCACTATCTTTTTTACTTACTCTGTTATTTTTTTTTAAAAAAAAAAAAAAAACTCCTTAATAAAATTTTCATGATATTTTCACTTTAATTTTTATTTATCTAATTTTTATATTAAAATATTATTTTTTTTAAATTTTTGTATCAAAGTAAAACAACATACATATCTCGAACGAAAGACATAATATTTTCTTTAATAAAATCTCATTCAAACTTTAAAATTTAACTATAAAATCAAACTTCCAATAAACGAACCAAACACTACACTATATTAACATTGTTCAAATATAATTCAGTATATATATATATATATTTTATTTTTTTTATGTCGTTTTAAGCGGCTTGAATTCATCCAATATCATGCACCAAAATAATTTTTTAAAAAAAACTAAAATTAGTTTAGTTTATTTTATTTTTTATTTACTACACAAATATCATGATTTATAATAAAGATATAATTTCTTTTTTCACAAAATAGCACATTCAATTTTATTATTTTTTTTTTAAAAAAAAAAAACAAAACAAAACCAATGTTTAAAAGATTTCATATTTTTTTAATAGTGTTTTTCAATTGTACAATTTTCATATAAATTATTATGAAAATACAATTAAACAATCTCCATCCGTTTCATATCTATGTATTCATTTATTTTTTTGTACAGAATTTTAAAAATATTAGATTATATTGTGATATAGTATAAATAAAGTATAAATGATTACATAACCTTTAGTATTGTGTGATATAAAAGTAATGACATTGCGTAATACATTGTAAGTTGTAAAGGTATTTGTAATGTTAGTTATATAGTACAATTATTAAAAAAAAAAAAAATGGATTTGTTATGGGACAGACCAAAATTGAAAAATGAATAATTTGTTAATAGACGAAAAAAAAAATATAATATATACAGTGTTTATTTACAAAAGTCAGTAAGTTAATACAAAATATTATTTTGTTATATTACAGATATAAATTTTTATGATATAAAAAATAAATTTATAAAAAATATAAAATGGACAAACTTTTATGCACTAATAATGGATTTTATTTATTTTTGTTTTTTTTTTATTTTTATTTAAATATATGCAGTATGCAATTTTATTTTACTTTCTAATGTCGTGGAAACTTGCCGCCTAATTTTTAAATTTAGTTTTCAACTATACCATACGTGACAAAACAAAATCAAATAACTTAGAAAAATTTGAGTTAAGTCACCTTCACAGTATTAAATCACCCAATTTAATTGTAAATATGAGTAAATGTTCTTTTTCATATCAATATCACATCCTCCGGCCGATTTTGTATGTTACCTTTTTTAAATTAAAATTAAAAAGAAAATCTAAAATATTTGCAATTTTCTTTATTTTACATCCAAATTTTCACATTTACATTTATCAATACAATTTATTAAAAAATCATAAATAAAAAGTAAAGGTAAAATAGCTAAAAACAATTATTAAAAAGAAAAATTATTTTTATTATATTTTATTTTAGTCTTGTAACAGAAGCTTGTATAGACATTGTTTAGTAAGTGCTTTTTTTTTTTTTGTCGCTAATGGTTGGAGATGCACACGTGGCATTCGCCTGATAGTCGGAACACACATTATCCGCCAAGTAGACGAAAAAAAATAAAATAAAATAAAATAAATTATAAGACTAAAAGGAAGAGTTTAGACGCGGGACTACAAAATATTTATATGTCCAACTAGTGGCGCCTACCCTGGTGGATACCGGTGCTCCGCGTGCCAAGAGGATGTCACGTGTGCATTTCCGGCACCAAATGATTAATTATGAAAAAAAAAAAAAAAAAAAAATCACATACAAAATGATTTTGATACAAATTTTAATTATGAAATTAAAATGATTAAGAAAATTCAATTTTCAAAGTAAAATAGTCTCTCCGTCTCATAATAAAGTATTCATTTTTTTATTTTAGTTCGTCACATAACAAAATATTCATTTCATTTTTTTTAGTAACTGTATTATCTACCTAACATTACAAATATCCTTACAATTTACAATATATTACACAAATGTCATTACCTTTATATCACACGTACTAATAAAATTATTTTAGTTATTTATACTTTATTCCTACTATATCTTAATATAATACTAATATTTCTAAAACTACGTGCAAAAAACAAATGAATATTTACTTATGAGACGAAAGGAGTATCAAATTCAAGTCAAAATCCTAACACACAGTATATATTCTAATATAAATGTATAAAATACTACTCCTTCAGTTCCTAATATGGTAACATTGTTACTGTAGGTACAAAATTTAGAAAAAATATGATTAGTAAATAATAAAAAATATATTAATAAAATTAATTACAATATAATAGATTAAAATTATAATTAATAAGTCTAATAAAAACCTAAAAGTTTATAAATTTTAAAATTTAAAATATAATTAAAATATAAAATACTTTTTTTAAAAAATGACATAACATGTAAAACAAATAAAAATAAAAAGCTTGACATGATATTTGAAACATAAGTACATTATAATCAATTTTATTGTATGAACAACCATATACTCCCTTCGTGTCCAATTACAAAAGTAAATATTTCATTAAATACTTCACTTTTTTTCAAAAGTACCCTTACTTTACATCACATCATTACTTTTACACCAAAAAACACAAGAGCAAAAATATCATTACACTACTTTTGACGGGGGAGTATTAAGTAAAACATATAGAAAACCCACAAGTTTATACTCTTTATATCCGCTCACAAAGTATTTTGATTTGTCATTTTGATCGTTCAAATATAAAACTATATATTATAAATATTTATGAATGTATATTTATTTGCATCAATATTATTATATTAAATTAAGACACATGGGCAAAATAATATTTACACACAAAAGCCTTCCAAACTAAATATATAAGGATGAGATGGGTCGGGTTTAGATCCGAACCCATATATATTGTTAGATCATTTTTTTTTTTCACCTAAAAGAATTTATTAAATAATGATAACAACAGCAACAATAATAAAATTCAACTTCATAAATAAAAGGAAACAAATTCCAAATGACGTCACTGCTACTAATGTGAATTTCATTGCAAAATTTATAATATAATCATATAAACAATCTCAATAAAAAAAAAATCTCTTCTTCAACTTTGGATAAAATCCCCAGTTCTTCGATCAAGAAGATCATAATGCAATGTCAAAACACTGTTAACACTATATGCTCATCAAACTAAATGTTTTGGCATATTAAAGATCATAATGCAAGTTGTACACTCAAGCTTTCGACTTCTAAGATCATTTTCGTAGCTCATACTCATCATTCATCATCGAGATTTAAGTGAATTTACCTGACCCGAAGCTCGAATACATTTAGCCATCTCACGGGCCAACTTTACGACTTTGAGATTACAAAATCTTCCACTTTTGCTCCACTGCATTTGTAATTATAGATATGCAGTACGCAGCGCTCAACGGATATTCAGAAACTGCAGCAAGAAGGCGTAAGAATAATTCGAAATATTAAGATAGATACAAAAGAGTGAATCTAAAATAGTAAATAGTAGTTGCACGTAATGTTTTATGAGAGAAAATACTACTCCCTCCATCTGGAATTATTATGACAATCTTTTTTTTATTGTCCCCAAAATTTATGAATAATCCATTTATAATAAAAAAAAACTGTATCTACTCACAATTTTATTACACCCCTATTTTAACAAATATTCCCTATATCCCACAAAATTTATTTTTTTTAAAAAAAAATATATAATGTATTTTAAATTTCATAATTTATAATTTTTATAATCTTAATTAAATTAATTAATTATCTTAATGTAATTATTTGTATTATATAATAATTACTTTTACTAATATATTTTTTAATTATGTACTAATTATACATTTGCCTAGATACTCTTATATAGGGGTAGCTGGACAACTAAGGTGGGACGGAGAGAGTAACAACTAATTTGTCTCTACTTTTTCTATTTATCATATTATTATTTTTTTATTAATTCTTAATAAATTTTTAATTATATCTCAACTTTATTTTTACCCAGAGTCTCCATATCCAATGAAAATGGTATAAATATCCCGGACAGAGAAAGTATGTTTTTATACAAAATCACAAGACTGCATAGCAAAAAAACTGAAACATAATGAACAGAAGAGCATACACGTCCCCATTAAAAAAATGTTTGGGTGTGTGAAACATATGTTCGAACACAGATTTAATCAATTTTAACATTGATTTAAACAGATTAAATCAATGTGCGAAAGAATTACATTATTACAAATGGGATGAACTGAAACTCGAGCATAAGACAACTTTTTTCTTAACAAACCAAACATGATAAGTCATGTATAGTGTCCAAGAAATTATCGAACAAATGCAAACATGTTCAACATACACAACCTTGAACATGAAAGATCTAATTTATATGTATAACATAACATAGGAGAACACAAACACGACGATCATATACATGTCTAGAAGCAATAGAACTAAATTCATTCATCAGCTATATTTCCTAAGTGCATAACTTCATTTCTTTCTAATCACATGTTTAAATTAAGTCGGAATAAATCCTTGATTGGATTTAATTTAGTTATTGATAAAAACAACTTATAAGATTGATAATATTATCCTTTGCAAATAATACTTTCACATTCACACTCCAAAATTTTTTGCTATTATTTCTAACGTACTATCCCAAAACTTTTACAATTTGTCTTTATTTACACACAGTTTTTCCCGTTTTACTTTAAAAAATACAATCTACAAAAATTTTCAAAACAAAAAATGACAGAAAAATAGTAAAAACTATAAATTATATATTGCCTAAAACCCATGGAAAAATGTGTGTTAGTTTGGATTTCATCATTATTCAACCCAAACATTTCCCAATAAAATACACTATGTTCTCTCACAAAATATTACGTTAAGATATTATTTGAACAAAAATTATGCTATTTCACAAAATAAACATGGCTACAAAGAACAAAAGCAAAGCAATCAAACGACAAAAAAAAAACACAAAAATTCAAGCTAAGTCACATTAAAGCAATAGTAAAGAATTAGCTTACTTGATAAATAATCTTCTACATAGTTTTCTTCAATTTTACCGTGGGACATGGCTCCAACCTATCAACCCATTAACAATTATTTCAGCTAAAAGAACACCAAAAAAATGGAAACAACCCCGCACAAACAATAAACATGACATACCACAAAAACAAGATCAAGTTCGCTGTCGACGGTGCCAACATATTTGTGCATATCTACCAATTTCTCGGAGCTGTGTGAGAAACCTGTAGCAGATTCAATAAAACTTAATAATTATCAATACCCAAATCACATAAATCAAACATAGCCAAAAATGGGCACCTATTTTTCGACACTGAACAGGTAAATATTGGGTCACAGGATTCTTGATGAGGCGCAAGAGCTTCTCGCCCTTACCGGATGCAGTTATGTGCAGCTTTTGCAGCAATTGAACTGAAATTAATCGATGATTAGTGGGCGTTTCATTGACAATGTACAGACAGGTTTAATAAGTGGTATGCCTTACCCATTAGACCGGAAAATCGCTTATACGTTCTTGGCATTCGGACATGAGGTTTTATGTCCATAAGAAGATTCTGCTGTGTCCTCACGTACAATGCTTTCAATCTCCCACATTTGTTCACGCGGCTGTCTAAAATCGTTTGAATCGCCTATGAACATTGAAATTTCACGAGCGAAGTTCATATCCAATAGTTTCGATACACTAATTCGGTCTAATGAACATTTTACTAATCTAAACCACACGAAGTCAGATTTGGTGTAAAATCATCACAATTCAATCAAATCCTACACAGCACCAAAGATTCAATGAATATTGAAACCCTGAAAACATTGAAATTTCATGAGCTACATGAGAAGTTCACATCCAATAGTTTCGAATTACTAGTTCGGTCGAATGACTATTTCAAATAATTATAAACTATAAGAACTCAGATATGATGAAAAATCATCACAGACCCAATCAAATCCTACATAGCATATAACAGCTTCAAGGAATTCACAGGACCAATTTCGAGACAGAATTGCATTCAAACAGCTTCGAAATTTCTGTGTGGGTTCAACATAATCATCAAATTACCAAATTGAACTCAGTACGAACTCAAACAATAAGTTGAATCGATCAGTTCTGACCTGAAAAGCAATGTCCGGACGATAATCCGCAGGGTTGCGCTTGTTTTTCACGAGAAAATTCGCGTGTTCATCAGAGCTCAGGAGCTGATAAGTCTGCAATACATATATAAGCAAAACCAGGTGAAATTTCATAGGCCATTCCAAAAAAATACACGCATCGATGGATTATAATTCACGAACAGACCTTCCCAACTTTAGCGATTTCCAGAGAAGCTTTTTCGAGGATAAATATAACACCGGGCTTATTGTGACCCGAATCCACCGGAACCATCGGGATTCCAGGCATTGAGTCCAAAATTGATTCCGGTTGCGCTTCCGACGATTCTCCTTCCGTTCTCGCCTTCTTCGGCGACGGCGGAGCTTCACTGCCGCCGTCTATTTGGTCGGATTCGTCTTCCCGGTCGTACTTGTCGCCTTTCTTCTTCCTCTTCTGCCCTTTCATCCTGTACGCCCGCACCATCTTCGCTCCGGCTGCTAAAACCCTAACCGAAATCTCTCTCCAATACAACACCCGCGGAGAAAACTGCGAAGTTAAAAAAAAAATGTTAAAATAAACTCGATTTCCTTTATATGCGGTGGAAGTACCAAGCTGAGAGAAAAAAAAAAAAAAAAAACTCACCGGATTTCCAGCTGGCGGCGGCGCAACGTAGAAGTAGAAGAGTAAGGAAGGAGAAGAAGAAGAACAGAAGGAGGCGAAGTCGAAGAAAGGAAGGACAAAGAAAGGGGAAGAAATTATTGGCGGGGTGCAGGGGAGCGGCGGCGCTGTGGATTGTATTTCTGGTATTAGGGTTTTTTTATTGATTTTATTATTATTATTATATATATACTGCATGCCTAATAATTTGATGGGGATATAATATTTATGAAAATGAAACTATTGTTTTAGAATGGATAAAAATAGTAAATAATATTATTGTATTGAGATTAGGGGATGGAAGAAGTATATTTTTTATAAATTCTATTCAAATTTAAATTTATTTAAGATACTCTCTCCAAATATCTATTTTTCTATTTTAGATAACAAAGTATCTATTTTTTTTTTTTAATTGTACTATCTACCTATCGTTACAAATACCCTTACAACTTATAATATATTACACAAATGTCATTACCTTTATATCACACGTACTAATAAAGTTATTTTAGTCATTTTCTATTTTATTCCTAATATATCCTAATATAATACTAACATTTCTAAAACTACTTACAAAAAAAATAAATAGATACTTACTTTTGGGACGGAGAGAGTATGATTTTTTGTTTACCAAAATCTCTACTTATCATAAAATTTATAAATTGATATTACCTTTAATCCATTAAATTTTTTTATGATAAGTAAAAAAATTTATACTATACAAATTTTTATAACTTTTCACTAAAATTTAATAAAATCAAATTTTAAAGTTTATAAATTATTAAATACAATAGAATTTTATAGTACTTTTCAATGTCTAAATTGAATACTCTAATTTTAAAAATATTTTTAAAAATTTGAATAAAATAAATTCAAATATTAAAACGGATTAAAATTTTGTAAAGTCATAATTGAATACAAATACCTCCTTAATGTATTTTTGTAGATTTAAATTTGAATAATACTAAAAAAATTCAATAATTCTCTATATAATATAAATATATATTATAATAAATATTTAATAGATAAACAATTTTTAATAATAATATAAAAAATTCAAAATTGATCTAATATTTATGGAAATAATGAAAAATGTATTTGGCGGTAAGATTTTAATTTGATTTATTATTTTTATTTTTTTAATAAAAATGGTTTGTTTGTTTAGTGTTTTAGTTTGAAGTATATACTGTGGATAAAAAATTGTGTTATTTTTTATAAACACAAAATTTTTACAAATTATTTTTAATTTAGATTTAAAGCGGATCATATTTTGGGTCTTTTGGTTCTTTTTTCAGATCGATTTGTTTTTCAACTTAGTTTTCAATGGCTTCTTTAATCCGAAGAGATTTGATCATTGGTTTGACTTTTTCGGACTTTAGAGAGTTTTGGTCTCCGTGCGGGCGATTTGATCGTCGGCTTTGGATTTGATGTCCTCTTTAGACGATTCGAGGCTTTGATCTTTGATTAGGCTTTGCCGCATTTTGGAAAGTTTTGGTGTGTAGGCGATTCGATCATCGGTTTTTTATTTAATGTCTTCTTTAGACGATCCAAGACTTTGATATTTGCTTTGGTTTTGCCACTTTTGGAGGACTTTGTTCTCCCTGTGGACGATTTGATTATCGACTTTAGATTTGATGTCTTCTTTGGACGATCCACAACTTTGATATTTTGTTTGGCTTTGCCGCTTTTATAGGACTTTGGTCTCCGTATGAACGATTTGAATATCGACTTTTGATTTGCTTTCTTTTTAGACAATCCGAGGCTTTTATCTTTGCTTTGGCTTTGCTGTTTTTGGAGGACTTTGGTCTCAATGTGGGCGGTTTGATCATCGGCTTTGAATTTGATGTTTTCATTGGACGATCCGCAGCTTTGATATTTGGTTTGACTTTTCCACCTTTTGGAGGACTTTGGTCTCCGTGTGAGCGATTCGATTGATGTTTATTTGGACGATCCGCAACTTTGATATTTAGTGTGGCTTTGACGCCTTTTGGAAATCTTCGGTCTCCGTATGGGCGATTCAACGCTTTTGCAAAGAACATGAAAAATAATAGAGTCTAAAGACTTACTTATTTGCTTGAATCATCGATGTAACTTCGGTATGTAAAATAAACTAGCCATTACTCCTATTTATAGGAAAGGGGTGATCTCGGCTTCCTTTTTAAATGATGCCACATGGCGCGTCGTGATTGACCAACGGGAATATTTTATAATTTTTCCTTTTCCATCAGATTTTGTTTTCCATTCTCTACGGATTTGATTGTGCACCTTCATTTGTTTGTCAAGATCTTTATATCATTTTTTTTTTAAAGATATTAATTTATATACTTCATTTATCGACAAGATTAATTTATTTTGCCGCCAAATTTATTATGGCTCTGCAAGTAATATTTGGACGATATCTTCCATTTTAAGCAAATTTCAACATTTTATTGTGCAAAAATTAATATATGTGCATAATTAAATACCATATATTTATTTTAATAGAATTTTATTTTATTCCAAAATACATAATATTTAATTTAATTTAGGCATTTAATTTTTAATGCCTAGACACGTATATTTTATGTAAATGATATAGAATTGTGTAAATAATATAAAAAATACTGTATATATTATATATATTGATAATTGTATCAAAAAATTTTTTGTTGCAAGAACAAACCCTAAATTAAAATATTTATTGTTTTAATTACATCGTATTAAAATTTAATTTTATATCAAAATATCATATTAATATATACTTATATTATATTAAATAATTATTTTAATTTAAAATTTAATAATGTATTCAAAATTCAAATCTAAACCCCACAGATAAATACACGGCACCATTAAGAGTGTATTCTCTTTATATTTTATTTATTTTTTAAAAAAATTAATATATTACATATTTATTATTTTTATATTTATATAATTTTTTAATATTTTATATAAAAAATATTTTACATAATAAACACAATCTAAAATCCTTTCAAACCCATTTATTATTTGAACCAAAAGCGTAGACTTAAAACCCGACTTTAAAATTTACAAAACGCGACTACGAAGGTTCCGCGAAGAACACAGCCCAGCCCTAGATGTTTCGAAAAACGATTTCTTGTGTAGAATTAAGTCGGCGAAAAATATTTACTACTTAATTATTATGCCTCGTTTTATTTTATTTTTTCCATTAATCTGTTCACCATAGTCTCTGCTCTCCGCGTCGAAATGTCCTCCAGATTACTGCCATCAGAAAGCGCTATTTTTGTTCTTCAAGCGAAAGGGATTCGAAGGCTTGATTCGAAACCCTAGCCCACCGCCCGTGTGTTCGTGTTTGCGTGTTCAATTGGGGAAATTAGGTGTTGGGCTGGTCGGATCTTGGAGATCTAGGGTTGATTTTTGTTCGGTAAGATCGTTTGTTTTTGTTTATTGTTCATTGCTTTTCGTTTCGTGTTTTAATTTCTAATTTTGTTTGGAGGATTAGGGTTTTATTGTTTTGATTGTCCAATTGATTTAAATTGTCGTTTTTAGGGTTTGAGCTGATTGTGTCGTTGATCGTGGCTGTTGAATTTTATTCATTTCTGTTTCTTGCATGTTGTAAATTCGGATTTGGTTTAGGGTTTGGAATCGGGAGACATTTCCGTCGACTGTTGTGAAAATTTCGGTGGGTTTGTTTGTGTTTTATAATGTTTTGGATGTTTCAGGGAGTTTAGTTTTAAATGATTTGAATCGTAGGGTTTCTAATGTTCAATCTTGAATCGAAATAATAGAATTTGAATCTGATTATTGTTATTATTATTTTTTAAATGAAAAGCAAATATCGGATGTGATGTTTGAATCGGATATAAATTTTCCATTTGATGCTTTTATAATAATAATAATAATAATAATAATAATAATAATAAACAATTTGTAGTTTAAATTATATTATAGATTGCTTAGGGCGAAAACAAGTTCGGTAGCTATGGATGTGTTTCTTTGTGTTTATAATATGAGAATGGATTATTGTTGTTTTTGGTCCACTGCGGCGCTTGAGATCGAGGTATTTATGAGGATGGGATATTAATGCTTGTTACAGCATATGTTCTGTGTTTTGTGTGGGAGGAATGAACGGAAATCGTGCTAGCACTTAATTTTCATTACATCCCTAATTAGATTTTACGATACAGGAACTTACTTGTGGATTAGGTTGTAGTTGCATATATTGCAGACTACATTGTGGGAACGATTTCTTTTATGGAAAATGACCGTGCTAATGAACAACGGAAGAGAAAGCTCCTCCAAAGAGCGCGTGCGGAGCCTCTTTGATAAGGTATGTGGTGTTAGACTTCTGGATTGTAGTTTAATTTCTTTTTTGCCTTGTTCGTGTAATTCTTTTATATAGATATCATTATCTATCTATACATTTTTCTTGAAAATGGAAACAGTATAGCGATGTGTTATGTTGGATAAGAAATTTGTTTTTTTTGTCCTTAGAATGCTGAGTTGGAGACTAAGAGAAGGGAAGCAGCAGTGGCCCGAGTCCCTTCGGATCCTAACACATGGCAAACTTTGCGCGATAATTATGAAGCGATTCTCCTTGAAGACCATACATTTTCTGAACAACATGACATTGAATATGCTCTATGGCAACTGCATTACAAGAGGATCGAGCAGCTAAGGCGACTGCATAGTGCAGCTCAAGCTTCGTCTGATTCAGCTGCATCCCAAAATGGTAATGGTAATGGTCCGATTCGTGGTGGGCCTGATAGACTTGGAAGGATAAATTCCCAGTTCAAAACATTTCTCTCGGAGGCTTCTGGGTTTTATCATGATCTGATGTTGAAAATAGGAGCAAAATATGGGCTTCCGTTGGGATATTTTACTGACGATCCTAAAAATCAGATTCCGATGTCTAAAGATGGAAGCAAATCTTCTGATGTGCAAAAGGGGTTAATGTCATGTCATCGTTGCTTGATCTATCTTGGGGATCTTTCTCGTTACAAAGGCATGTATGTGAAAGGGGATTCTAAAGCTCGTGACTTTGATGCGGCATCTAGTTACTATACGCAGGCTTCTTCCCTGTGCCCCGCAAGCGGTAATCCACATCATCAGGTAAGATCATACTTTCTGAGTCGTGGTCTACTCGTTCGAGCTTTATCTAGTGGGTTTTCAATTGATTATCTAAATTAAAGTTACTGTTTGTAATTTTCAGCTTGCTATACTGGCCGGGTACTCCAACGATGAATTGCTGTCAATTTATCGTTATTTTCGAAGTCTAGCCGTGGAGAACCCCTTTTCTACTGCAAGGGACAACTTGATTATAGCATTTGAGAAGGTACTTTTACATTTGCAAGCAAGTGTGATGACTGACGACACAATGCTCTTGTTATGAGCACAATTATGTTCTTAATTCATTTTTTATTTTTTAAATCTGTTCTGTGGGGATTGACATTTATAATTTCAAGGGAATGCTCGATTTTGTATATTAACTGTGAAAAAGCTTTAGCATTAAATCTAATTAACATATTAGGTTGTTTCATATTTAAAGTATATGGACAGAAAGCATGTGCCGTTCATGTGTTAATTTTGTCCACTGTAATTATTATAATCCACGCATGTAGCCTGCTACTGTGCTGGTTGTATTTCTTTCTGAAGTATGGCGGTGTATGCATGATATTTGATATTGGCTGTCCCTATGTGCTACGATAATCATCCTTTTGGCGAGCAGTTGGATAAGTTTTTTGATGAAGTGTGGAACTTTATCTTCTGTTGGAGATGTATAAAATGTTGGCAACGGTTTTAAATTCAGTTTTCTCGGTGACCCTGCATCTTACCACAGCATATTTTCTTTACTTTATAGAATCGTCAGAGTTATACCCTGATACTTGGTGATGCCAAGAAAAACAAAGCGAAGACGATAACTTCACGGGTGCCTAGAAAAGGAAGAGGCAAAGAAGACGCCAAGTCTCCGCTCAAAGAAAATAAGGTGAAAGCTATTGCTGTCAAGGAAGAAACACCAAGTAAAATTGAACTCTTTGGATTCTTTGTCACTCGATTTCTCAGGCTGAATGGCATTCTCTTTACACGCACAAGGTTTGTTTATAATTGCAGGAATAAATGACAATTATTACTGTAAAGTGATTGTTTACTGATGCGTGAATTTTTTTCTGTGATTTCAGCCTTGAGACCTTCGCCGAAGTTTTATCAGTGGTTAAAATTGATCTAATGAAACTTCTTTCTTCTGGGCTAAACGAGGAGCTCAACTTTGGATTAGATGCTGCTCAGTTCACCCTTGCAATTGTCAGGATGGTTGCGATTCTAATATTTACCGTTTATAATGTGAGCCGGGAGAATGGAAGCCAATCTTATGCTGATACTCTACAGCGTGCAGTGCTGCTTGAGAATGCATTCACGGCTGCCTTTGAATTCATGGGCTGTGTGCTTGAACGGTGTGATCAGTTGTACGAGCCTTCCTCGAGCTACTTATTACCTGGGATTATGGTTTTTGTAGAATGGTTGGCCTGTTGTCAGGATGCCGCAGTTGGAAGTGAAATGGAGGAGAAACAAGTGAACGCACGATGCTTTTTCTGGAATAAATGCGTCTCCTTTTTAAACAAGATACTGTCGAGTGGTTGTATGAGCAATGAGGACGAGGATGATGCAATATTTTCTAATATGACGAGGTATGACCAGGATGAAACAAATAATCGCCTCGCCTTGCCTGAGGACTTTGAGTTGAGAGGATTTCTCCCTCTTGCCCCTGCACAGCTCATCCTTGATTTTTCAAAGAAGCATTTTGTTGGGTATGGTGTCGAGAATAAAGAAAACACAGCTCGCGTACAGAGGATCATTGCGGCTGGAAAGTCCCTTGCTAATAATGTTCGAGTTGGTTGTGATGGCGTCTATTTTGACAGTAAGGTGAAGAAATTCTTGTTTGGCATTGAACCTCAGAAATTTGAAGAACCTCTGCTATCCATTGGTGGCCGACTGGACATTCCAGTGGGGGTGCATACGGATCTGAATACCGAATCGAAGAAAGTGGTAGCTGAGAATGCCGAAGACGAGGATGAGGATGAAGTGATTGTTTTTAAGCCATCTCTTTACGAGAAGCAGATGGATGACTTTTCAAGAAACATTTACTTCGGAAATGAGAATCAGGTGTCCGCCGTTGCCCAGGAGAGCTTTATAATTCCACCTGCATCGAGTTCAGTAAATCCTGCAGTAACTGTTGCAAATGAAGCTGTTAATAGCCCCTCGAAGTATCTTCATCCAGGCCAACAGGACGTAGGAATTTTGAACGGCTTGACTCATCTGAATTTGGTTGAAAATACTTTCCCGAAGAAAGAAATGCAAGATAACTTTGGGGCTCCACAAGTTTCTGGACCTTCGACACTCCACTCCCAGATTGTAGATAATCGCAACTACTCAAACCAGGTTCCACCGTCAAAATTTGAATCGATCAAGTCCTCTGTAGCATTCGCCGATGGGATTCCTGTAAATCTGTCGACAATTTCACCAGGCTTGAAAAAGAATCCTGTGTGTCGCCCTACCCGAAACATCGGTCCACCACCTGGCTTTGGCTCTGTTCCTTCCAAAACTGTGGATGAAACATTACCGAACTCAGTCAAGAAAAATGAGATCCATCCGATTCCAGAAATGGAAGATTACAGTTGGCTGACTGGATCTAAGACAACCTCCTTGAATCCGAATTTTGGTTTCAGTACTTTACAGAGCCATGTTAGCTCCACATTACCTTCTTTGTGTAACAGCGGTTTTTCCATGGGGATATCTGATTTCCCCTTTCCTGGGAAACAAGTATCAGCATTGAATGTCCAGAATGGTAATCAGAAAATTCCGCAGGACTATAAGCTTCTGGAACAGGTGAAGCAGGATAGGGAGCAGCCGCTGTTTCAAGAAGTAAATCAGCAGCCGATCAAGCCCCCACAGCAGTATCCGGGACAGCCTAGCTGGAATAGTCGTTTCCTTGTGTGACATGATAAGGGAATTGGTAATGCAGGTATTCTTTTTGCATCGTACATTTTAATTTGATCGAGATTCAGAACCTTTTTTTCCACACGTACTAAAGTTATGATCAATTAACTGCAGCGAATGTTCTTTGAGTGAGGTGCTGCTATTTGATTGATGCTGATGCAGAAGGATTGCTGTTATTAAGTTGTATGATGGTCTTGGAATGTCGCAGACATATGCTGTGGAATAGGTTCGTCTCTCTTCTCTCTCTCTCTCTCTCTCGATTATTTATTTATTTATTTTTTTGTTTTGCCTGTCATTCAATTTTTAATGATGCTCTGATTTGGTTAATTAAGAAACTATATACATATTATATGCTTTTGTCGATTTGGGGGTATAATCTTTTCAAGCTCAAATTTGATAGGAGCGCATAATTTAAATCTCCGGCTCAATACTTGTGTTTTAGCTTAAATCGTGCTCGGGTATGCTTGAACTTCACAATTATAGTAGGAAAATAAATTTGTAAATTTCGATTGGACTTCATAGTTACGTTTGTAAATATCAGAATTATTAATCTATTCAAATTTTCATAAATTTTCTTATATATGTATCTTATTTAGTTGGGCCATGACCGGTTTAATATGGAATTTGGCGGAGTCTTTTCCGAGCATGGTTGTTTAACTCTCACATTTTTCACCGTAATATGTTATCGTAACTTTTCTATTACTATATAGTATAGCGTGTATGTTATGGCTGTCTTTCTCCGATCCCTCAGGTTAGTTTGTTTTGTTCGTCATTTTATGCTTTAATCTATGTTTTTGCTCGCCTGAAATGTCTTTTTTTATTACAATTGCAGCTTGTGCCGAGCATGCCAGGTTTGGTTGATTGGTCGAATAGGTGAATTGCCGCGGAAGTGTAATAAAGTTGAATTACTTGTCGGTTGGGGACGAGAGAAAATCAAGTTCATTAAGACGAGTAGTTGGCATTATGGCCGGGTGATATGTTTCATCCTAAGCCCCATAAATGTCGGGACCAGACAGTTTGCGTCTGCATCTGCCGGGTACGTCTGCAATGTTGTTGGGGTGAAAATGGACTTTGTCCGGGTGTGGAAGTTTATTGGAGTCGAGCAATGTTTTTCTTTTTTCTTTTCTTTTCTTTTCTTTTTTTTTTCTTTTTTCCGAATGCTGGATTTTAAATAAAGTGCGCGATCCAGAAATGTAAGGTTTTCAATGGCTTTTTGTTTGATATTTGTTTTGGTAAAATGTTTTGGTGTCGAATTTGTGCAAATGCTGTTTGGAATCATCGATATTGTGGGATGCTGTTTTGTCGATGAACTTGTCTAAATGTGGCGTGTTTGTTTTGTTCGATATTGTGCTTATAGTCGATATTTTCCGTCTTGAGTTTGAGGTTTTTTTGTTTGAATCTATAGCTTTTACTTTTCGAGTGTGTTTTGAGTAAATGTTCGGTTAATTTGATATTGTTATATTCTGTCATTTTATTTTCAGTATATTTTAATTATCTTTTAAAAGTATATTATGTTTTAACATGTTTATTTTGAAAGAAATCTGTCTATCATATCTAAATTTGTAAGTTTTAATTATTATGAAATTTTTATAGTTTATTTCATAAGACATTTATTATTTATAAAATTTCTCAAAAACAATAAAAAATATAAAATATTTTATGTGAAAGTCAAAAGTAAAAAATTTAAATATTCAATTTAAAATAATATTCTTTCCGTCTCAATAAAGATTATTATCATAAATATCACATGTGAAAAATGTCATTTCACATGAGACCAAGGAAGTATAATTTAATATAAAAGACTGTAGTATATATTTAATTTGATATATTTTTTAAAAAAAATATTTAATGAACAGTAAGGATCTTTCAGAAAGCAACAATTAAGCAAATAACTTATTTTTTTCCAAAATTAGTTAGACTTTCTTTGTAATTATAAAAAAGATGTAACTAATTTTGATCGATGGAGAAAATATTAAATACTTTAGAAAATATATATACTTTAAATTAAATTAAATATATGGTCTACATTTAAAAGGGACCATTTTTAATAATAATAATAAAATGACAAATTTAGACACACGTAAGCATTTTTGTTTGAATTATATGGAAATAAATTTATGAAACATTATCCCTATTTTGTGTTTTATACATCTTATTCTTTTTATTATTTTTATTCATTTTACTAAAAAAATTATTTTCTATTCTAGTAAATTAATAATTACACACTAATATTATACTCTTTTCGTCTCTTTTGAATATATTTCTTTGAAATTTTATATTAGATTAAAAAATAATAATATTCTATGAAAATTTTGCTATTTTGCTCTTTGACTTCTTGTATAAAGTAATTATATGTGTAATTGTATATTTATAATTTAAATAAAATTTAAAGATATTTTGATATTATTATATATTTACTTTTACTAAAATGAGTGGGACAAACAGATAATAAGAATATTTTAAATTGAGACGAAGGAAATGATACCTTTAATTTTTATACTAAAATTATAAACATATTATTATAATATAGTTAATTTATATATAAAATAATAAAGATAAAAATATCAAAATTATTTTATATAATTTTGTTAATAATTAAATATTTTTATTTTTTAATTTACTTAAAAAAATTCAAATAATTTTTTATTTGAATTTTGGGACAAAAAATTTGGAATATTCTTGTAAAGGCTGGTTAAGAAATCGAATACGTGGTGGCAATCCTTTTCCACGTCCCTTCTTGACATTATAATATATAGTCAAGATATAGACAGACACTTACAATTAATTCAATTATCATTATAATTATTATTATTTCCTCCATCATAAGTAAATATTTATTTGTTTTTTACACGTAGTTTTAGAAATATTAGTATTATATTGAGATATAGTAGAAATAAAGTAGAAATGACTAAAATAACTTTATTAGTATATGTGATATAAAGGTAATGACATTTGTGTAATATATTATAAGTTATAAGCGTATTTGTAATTTGTAATGTTAGGTAGATAGTACCTTTATTAAAAAAAGAAATGAATACTTTGTTATAAGACAAACTAAAATAAAAAAATAAATATTTTATTATGAGACGGAGGAAGTATTATTATTATTATTATTTGAAAATTTCTGAAGATTAATCATAGAATTCAATCATCTTTATTTTAGGAATAAATAAATAAATTGAGAGTCCATTTAGATTGAATTTTTGGAAATTTTAAAATTTTGAAAAAAATAAATAAATAGTACTGCTAATTATGTTATTTAGTTTGGACGGAAAAATTAAAAAATAATTATTCCCTTTTGGTCACATTTACTTTTTGCGTCATTGTAGTTAACATTAAAAATATCATTATATTTGTATAACTTTCTATACAAAGTCTTTATATTAGTATTATAAGACACTAATAAAAATATTTTTTTATTTTTTATTTTAATTTATGCTACGTTTTGATATAATAATTAATATTAAAATATCAATGCAAAAAGTAAATGAGACTCTTAGAGCCAGACGTAGGTAGTATATTTTAATATAAAAATAGGATGATAAAAAAATAAAATGTAGGTATTACTTATTAGAGAAAATTTATTAAATAATTGATAAAAACGTAAGTGAAAGTAGAAAAATAATGGTAAATTTATTATTATTTGTTAATATATTAATAATAAAATTGTGAGTAAATAAAATTATTTAATTATTATAAATAAATTCCATAAGTTTAATGAACAAAAAAAACTTGCATAATTATCGCGGACGAAGCACTACAAAGGAACAACAATTGTTTGTCTTAGGGTGTGTTTGTTTGGAGGATTAGATTTTAAATCCATTATTCATCTCATTCCCTCCCCCAAAAAAAACATCAAATCAAACATATTTTTTATTTTTTTATATTATACTAAAAATTAATTTTACATTCACATCAACGCCTATTTATATATCATCATACAACTATTCAAATTCAAAATTGTTACTATTCAAATTTGAACTCAAAATCCTAACTCCAAAACAAACACACACTTACTGAATTTTACAAAAATCTCAGAAGAAATTTCCTTTTTGGACCTTCACACTTTGATATTTTCTCTTACAAAAATGGCCTTGAGAGAAATATTTAATTGTTGTGTATTTACGCATTTTTTTGAGTTTTTGTTGTTATTTATTTATTGAGAACTATAAAATATTTATTTCTTTTTATTTTTTAATATATGACAAGAAAAATAATACATATTTATTGGAAACAACACATATGAATGATAAAAATTGAAATCAAATTCAAGAAGAATAATATAAATAAATGTATGTTTTCGACAAAAGTATAAAAAAAAAAGAGGAAAAAAAAAGTTAAATCGCATAAAATCCACCTGTAGTTTCACGAAATTGCGTCGAATTTTTCGTATTTCTAAAACTGCGTCAAACTCCCTCGTGGTTTCATAAATTTTGCGTCTAACCCATCGGCGGTCCTTATTTAATGGTATTTGACCTAAATGCCCCCAAATTGAGAATAAATTTTAGAATTTCAATTTTTAAACCCCTATAGTTACAAATATATTTATTTTTCTTATATTTAGCCAAAGAAAACAATAAAAATAAATTCTTCAAACTTGAGAAAAGTAATTATTTTTTAGTATATTTACTATTTTTTGAGGCTAGATATAAGAAAATTAAATATATTTGTAATTTTAGGTCTTTAGAAATTGAGATTATAAAATTTATATACAGTTTGAACGTTTAGATCAAATACCGTTAAATAAGGGCCGCTGAGGGGGTTAGACGCAAAGTTTATGAAACCACATAAACGAGTGAGTTTGATACAGTTTTAAAAGTATAAAAATTTGGGGCATTTTGTGAAATCACAGTTGAATTTTGTGTAATATATAAAAAAAAAAAAAAACCCTTCCATCTTACAAACTATTACAACAATGTCTCCACATAATTTAACGCCATTGCATAACATTCTTAGGGGTAAAATGATAAATTCACCTTATATTGTATTGGATGCTTGTGTTTGTCCGGGGAATTGGATTTTCACTGTTCATCCCATTTTTTTCCCCCAAAAACATCAAATCAAACACCTATTTTTTATTTTTTATATTATATTAAAAATTAATATTACATTCAAAACATCACATCAACACCTATTTATATCACATCATATAACTATTTAAATTCAAAATTTTTACTATTCAAATCCCACTTCAAAATCAAAACCCCCAAACAAACACACAATATTTTAAAATTTACATGTAAAAATTAAATTGTTAAGTTTATATTGGAGGTAAGGAATATACTTTATCTGTCTATTTTAAAAGTATATATTTAATTTTATTGTGTATTTTAATTATAATAGGTGGTTAAAAATAATATAAATATAATTTTATCCTTATTTTTTAGTATAAAAATAATTATACAATAGTAAAATATGAATATTGAAAAAATATATATATAATTAATAATTACTAAAAAAATAATTATTATGTAATTGGACAACAAATATATATATATATTGTGAATAGAGGAAAGAAGTATGATTTTATAAACTATATTGTAGTAGTTCATAATTATGATGCATAATTTGTGACCATTTAAAATTATTTAGATATTCAAATCGGCATTTTCTACTTCTGATATATATTTTTTATTAATTTGAATTTATTTTGGTCTTTATTTAGGTTTATGACTTTATAAATATATATATATGATTATTTATTTTGTAATTAGTTTTTTTTTATCGGATTTATTAATTGGTTTTGATTGTATTTTAATAATCCATTCGTCCAATTTCTATTGACCTAAATTATATTTGCACGGTTTTTTAGATGATTGTCTTTTTGTTATGAATTGACAAATTTATCCTTAATTGTATGGTAGAGTTTAAAAGTAATAAATGAATTAAGGGTAAAAATATAAAATTTGTGTTTAAAAAAGGAAATAGGACAATAGTTGTTGGACGTCCCAAATAGAAAAGTAGGACGTTAGTTTGTAAACAGAAGGAGTATGACATTTTCAATACCCTTTGTTACTATGTGAATATATATATATATATATATTATAATTATGATATTAGTCTTATTTTTAAAATATTACAGGATTATCAACTTATTCAAACGATTTGTATATTATGTGCGATTTTTTATGATTAAAATAGAGATTTTAAATTTTATATTTTAATACCCTTGTTATCTTTTGTATGTCTTTTCCCCTTAATTTTTACTTTTTAATATTTCAATTTTTCTTCAAAAATATCAAATTTTGTATTAATTTTCTATTTAAAATGATATATTCAACCTTTATTTCATCTAAAGAAAAGATCACGAAAACAAAGACAATATATAACAAACACATACTCC